TAGCTGGAACTCCAGGTGCAGTGACACCATGCCCGGCCAGTTTTTTATTTTCTATTTTTGTAGAAACAGGGTCGCGCCACGTTGTCCAGGCTGGCACTTTCGGATTTTAATACGGCAGTGCACGCAAATGGTTAAACACACCGTGTGGCACAGCGACGTCCCTGCCCCTCCCCACACTCAGCACCTTCTGCCACGAGGGCTGGTAACCTGTCAAGAGGCAACAGCACACGCCCGCTGCTCCGTGGGCCACCCAGTGGTGCAAAAGCCACCAGGGGATGTGGACACACGGAGCCGGCTGTGTGCCCGAGATGCTTGACTTACACTGAAATGTGAAGTTTACAATTTTCTTGTAGTGTGAAACAGTATTAGAATTGTTTTGACCTTTTTCCAACCATGTGGAAATGTAAAACCCGTTCTCAGCTCGCCGACCACACAGAAACACCGTGGGCTAGGCTTGCCAGCCGTCCTCCCCACTCCTTCTCTAAGTGACACTTATGCTGCTCCTTCTAGATACGCCATCTTCTGACGTGGCTCCCTTTCGCAAGGGGAGACGAGAGCACAGTGCCGGATTCTTGTGACCTCCCGTGAGAACTTCTTCAACCCTGGCTGCAGCTCCCCAAGCTTCACTGGACACGATTAAATCATGTCAGTAGGGAGGAACCTCGCTACCTCACCCCTAAAACTGTTGACAGCTCCGGTCGGGACAGCTGTGTTCATGCAGCGGTCATTCGGGACAGAGAGTGTTGCTGTGGCCACTGCTGTCAAGTGATCCCGGGCCCAGCAGGGGCTCCTCAGTCACCAGACTCGAGGCCCATGGCCGCTTTGCCGGCAGCACCCATCATGTCCACACCAGCAGCCGCGTGGCTGGTCTGCCCAGCTCTGTCCAGAGCACGGTTAGTAACAGCAGGCCAGGGGCGGCCCTCACAGTCATCATTCCTGTGTCCCGACACGGGCAGGGGCGGAGCTGCCTCGGACCCCCATCCATGGCCAGGACACCGCAGAGCTTCTGCGTAAGGACGCTCAGGCCAGCTGCTGCAGCCTGGGCGGGCCCTCAGAGCAAAAGGAACTGGTGGGGAAAGCACCTCCCTAACCCACCCTGGCAGCCCCAAGGCACTGGCAAAGGCCAGCAGCCATTCTGAAACAGGGCGGACCAGCCCGTGCACGTGCGGCCCACAAGCTCAGAATGGGTTTTACTGTGTGGAACAGCAGAGAAAGAAAAAACAGCGAGGTTCCAATGTGTGTCCCTAATAGATTCACCGGCACACAGACGCCCTTTGGTCCCCACTGTCCATGCCTCGCCCTTGACAGAAAGCGTGTGCCGACCTCTATTCTAGAACAGACTGGAGGTCTGGAAATGGGAAGTTTTTAGGCAGCAGAACTGGGTTAAAGGATCCACATCAACCCTCGTTTCCTGGTTGTTCGAAAACAATGACCTGATCCAAATTTGAGACACGACTGCCATTCTAACAGGTATATCTACGTAAACTGAATCTGATTTTAAAATGTGATGCTTTAGATGCACGAAGAAATTTTACCCTTTACAAGAAACTCCGCGGTGAATTATTTTAACAAAAGCAACAGTTTTGCCCTGTATGTGACCGCACCTGCCCCATCCATGCACAGGAGGGGAGTATGGTGGGGGAGGCAGGCACGGGCCCTCACTCCATGCCTAAGCCTGCTGGTGGACCACAGGCACAGGGAAGTGAGGCTACCTTCGGGGACTGTGGTGAGCTGAACAGTGATCCCCAAAGTCATGTCCATCCCCAGACCTCCAGAACCTTGGAATGGGACCTTATTTGGAAACGGGGTTTTTGCAGATGTACTTTTTTTTTTTTTTTTTGGAGACAGAGTCTCGCTCTATCGCCCAGGCTGGGGTGCAGTGGCGCGATCTCGGCTCACTGCCACCTCCGTATCCCAGGTTCACGCCATTCTCCTGCCTCAGCCTCCCGAGTAGCTGGGATTACAGGCGCCTGCCACCACACCGAGCTAATTTTTTGTATTTTTAGTAGAGACGGGGTTTCACCGTGTTAGCCAGGATGGTCTCGATCTCCTGACCTCGTGATCTGCCTGCCCGCCTCGGCCTCCTAAAGTGCTGGGATTACAGGCGTGAGCCACCGCGCCCGGCCTGCAGATGTACTTAATTAAAGATCTTGAGATGCGATCACTCTGGATTTAGGGTAGGTAGTAAATTCAATGACTGGTGTCCTTATAAAAAGAAAGGGGAACACAGAGAGACAGGGAAGAGGCCGAGAGAGAGAGAGACAGGGAAGAGGCCGAGAGAGAGAGACAGAGAGACAGGGAAGAGGCCGAGAGACAGAGAGACAGGGAAGAGGCCGAGAGAGAGAGACAGAGAGACAGGGAAGAGGCCGAGAGAGAGACAGAGAGACAGGGAAGAGGCCACATAAAGACAGAGGCAGAGACCGGAGTGTGCCACAAGCCAAGGAACAACTGGGGCCCCAGGAGCAGGAGGCAGCAGGAGGATCCTCCCCTGAGCCTCTGGAGAGAGGCTGCCTGGCCACACCTTGATTTTAGACTTCTGGCCTCTAGAACTGGGAGAGAGTTCAGCTCTGCTGTTTCAAGCCTCCCAGTCCGTGGCCATGAGTTACAGCGGCCCCAGGACACCAACACAGAAACCACCTCACACCACTCCCTTCTCACACCTGCCCTGCCTCCCACCGCGGCTGACAGACAAGACTTGGGCACCATGGCAGTGGGCAGGGGAGGAAAAGAAGGGTGCGGGTGGTTCTGCCAAGTCACAGTGGGAGCATGTGAGGACAGGCCCCCAGACGGCAACCCCAAGACAAGACCAGGCTTGGGAGAGCCCATGGGTTCAGTGCCATTCCTTCCAGCAACAGCTTGAGCCACCAAAATGTTCCTTGTGAGAAAGCGGCTAAATGAAGTAGCCTCAACACATCTGGGGCCTCTTGCGGCAGAAAAAAACTAAGGGGGCAGGCTGGGCGCAGTGGCCCACGCCTCGAATCCCAGCACTTTGGGAGGCTGAGGCCAGGAGTTCGAGACCAGCCTGGCCAACATGGCGAAACCCCGTCTCTACTGAAAATACAAAATTTAGCCGAGCGTGGCGGCAGGCACCTGTAATCCCAGATGCTTAGGAGGCTGAGGCAGGAGGATCCCTTGAACCCAGGAGGTGGAGGTTACAGTGAGCCGGGATCGCGCCACTGCACTCCAGCCTGGGCCACAGAGAAACAAACAAAAACAACCAAAGGGGCAGATCATAGACATTGACGAAATTTCTCAAGACTAAACAAGAAATAGCGCCAGATACATAATTGTATGCAGGATGCCATCTTGTCTACCTTAACACAACGTCACGCCCACGAATGGTTCTGAAACACACAGGAAAAGTTCTGGGAAGTTGGGGAGAGATGGGAAGGGCGCTGCTGTGGGGAGGGGCTGGGAGATGAGGTGGCTGCGGGAGACCCGCTTCATTCTTTCTGTTTAGGCGCTGCTGATGGGAACGGTCTCACGAGGTTCCAGCAGCCTGAACACTACAATGAAGGCGGCGCAGGGGCTGCACCCACCAGGCCCTACCTGCTGCGGACGTCCTTGCTGCGGATGGGCGCCAGGAGGCTGAAGGAGGATTTGGCCGATCGAAGGGAATAGTCGTCGCAGGCCAGGGGGCTCCGGGGCTGGCCGGGGCCCAGGCTGCTGTGGGCCCGCACCAGGAGCGGCTGCGCGCGGAGCTTGTAGCCTGCAAGATCCGAGTCGACCTTGTTTGCTGTCCTCAGGGAGTCGGAGGCGATGTCCAGGCTCAGGGCAGGCGGCGGGCGCGGGGGCAGCAGGCTGGGCAGCCTGGGCGAGCTCCCTGCCACGGCGGCGTCTCTGTGCAGCAGGTTCGGGGAGCTGCTGGCCACCCCCGAGAGAGGGTTAACCCCCGAGGACCGGCTCCCTCTCTCACTGCCCAGGACCCCGCGGGACTTGGGGATTTCCTGCAAGGAGGTGCTCAGGCAGGGCGGGGAGCAGCTGTGGGCGGGGGCCCCGGGACCCTCGCTCTGCACTGAGCCCCTGGAGGGACTGGTCCCATTCCGGGCTTCCAGGTCTTCCTGGCTGCCTCGAAAACGCCTCCTCCTCCAGCCCTTGTCGTCCAGGGACAGGGCTCGCTCCAGCCGAGGCCTGGCGGGGGGCCGCGGGGTGACGGGTGCTGCCCGGGCTGGCGGGTCCTCGCCGCTGGGCGTGGCCGGGGTGCTGCAGGCAAGCGCCGGGCTCTCGGAGCCCGGAGCATCGGGTGGGGACCCCGCGCGCGGGGCCAGCGGAGCGCCGGGAAGCTGTCCTTGGAGCGTCCTCCCTTCGGGCGGCTGCGGGGCCGGCTCCGAAGGCCGCAGACTCTCCGCCTTGGACGGCATGGACGGGCCCTCCCAGGGGGGCCTCGGCGCGGGGCCGCAGGCAGGGCGAGGGGTCAGGGGTGCCGGGTCCGGGGTCGCCGGCGCAGCGAGGAGCAGAAACTTCGCTGCGGCTCCCGCTTGGGCCGGGGGTGGTCGCGGAGGGGCAGGGGCGGCTGCAGCATGGCCCGGGCCCCGGGTCCCGCCAGCCCCTCGGGGCTCCCAGACGCCGTCCCCAGGGCGGTCCGCAGGCAGGGCCTGTCGCGGGTGAGGCTCGACCCCGCCTGGGGCGCCGCTCGGGAAGAGGGGCGGGAATCGGGCACCGACTCCGAAACCGACCCCGTACTCGCGGAGGCCCGGCCGCCCAGAGGCGGAGTCAGCCCGGCCGGGACCCAGCAACGGCCGCCGCGGGGCCGCGCCCGGTCCCCGCCCCGCGCCCCGGCCCCGCCCGCAGCGGCCCCTGGCGGCCGGAGGACTGCGCCGCACCGGGACGGCTCTCCCACGCCCCTCCCCGCCCGGCAGCCCCGCAGCCCCGCAGCCCGGCAGGTCCCAGCGAGGGCAGGTGCAAGTCCCCGGAGAGGACCTGGGCGCGGGCCAGGCGAGTGCCGAGGCCTGCGGACACCTGCACTCACTCGCTTCCAACAAACCAAAGGGAACCACAAGTGAAGGTGCTTGAAGGAGCGCAAAATATTTTATTCAACGATTTGCAATGTAACAATTCTCATTTAGGAAAAATAGCCGCTCCCGCCTGGAGGAAGCTTCTTGAATCAAAAGTCGTGGCAGTCGACCCCAGAACAGCGGGCAGGGCCGACCAGAAGAGGTCCCAGGAATCACAGGAGCTGACCAAGGAACAGAGAGGGCTGCCCCGTCACAGGGACTGGCCTTTCTCCAAGTGACAAGGACAAATGGATCCGGCGGGACACACCTGTGAAACATTTTGGAAAACATCCTGGGTGGTCTGGGCTAAATGATCAAGTGAAACAGAAAGTCAGGAAGGGCCTGTGCTAATTCCACATTCTACAATTTCTATACTTAAATTTAAAACACCAGACAGTGTATGTTTCCCCAGCAGAACCTACAGAAATTATCTACTGATTTTTATTATTATTTAAATCTTTTCTTCAGTCTCTTTAGACTTGACAAGAATACGAAGAGTTTTCAGAACAGTCAGAGAAGCCTTAAAGCTTTGCGTCAGTGAGAGGAGGCCCCTCTCTGAGTTCAACAGGGCTGAGTCCACCAGGAGCTACTCAAAGTCTCAGTGTGGCAAAACGCGGGGCAGAAGTAAGTTCCAAAGCAGCTGTCAAGAAACTGTGCTAAGATACTCTCCCCAAGATGTTACCAACCCCTGAACCAATGTCCCCCAGGTGAGAAAGTGGGTCACGTGGATTGCACCAGGAAAAGTGCAGCCTTTTAGAGAACTGCATCCAGCCCCCTTCACAATGAGTCTAACCATGCTCCTACACGCAAAATGAAGCCCAAATCAAACATCACACCGTCAGTTTTCACCCTGGATGACCACCCTGAGCCATCGTGTCAGACAGCCGGCTCCCTGGGGCTCCTTCCCAGTGACTGGGCCACATGGTGGGCAGTCGCCGGTGCTTTGGGTGCACAAAATCACCCATGGTCCTCATCAGGCCACAGAAAGTAAAGTGAGGCTGGAAGTGTCTTTGTTACAGGAAAGAAATTCACTTCAGTAACTAAGGCCTCTCTCAAAAACTGAACTAATGCCGAAGGAACCCCGAGGCTCCTTGGAGACGCTGACTGAGAACACAGCCACCTCCACACATTCGGCCAGGTGCAAACACGGCCAGGGCCCAGACGCTGCAGAGCAGGGTCGGGGTTTGCCTCAGACAGTCACTCTTTGCTCCCAGCACCTTAAAGGAAGTGCGGGACTCACAGCTGGGCTTGGAGAGGCCCTGGTTGCTCCAACCGTGTGGCTCTCCTGTGGCAGAGACAGCTCCAGCCGAATGAACATTCTTAAATGACCAGGAATGCTACATCCTTAAATCATCCTAAATGACTAAGAAAGTCACACCATTCTTTTCAGCAAACAATTCTGAGTCAAAGATTCAGTCTTTCCATCCAGTATCTGAAAGGATGGTGGAATCAATTTTCAAAATAATTCATTATGATGGGCGGTGAGGAGGGAGGCGCAGCGTGGGACCAGCTCTGAGTCACTGCTGTGTCTCCCTGGGGGCGGGACGGAGATCGCAGCGGTCGGTTGGGTTCTTCGGGGAGAACAGCAGCGTCAGGGCTCCAAGTGCAAGTTCACAGCAGGACCAGCCTAGTTCTGCACCAGGTGCTTCCTCTGGTCAATTCTCCCTAGCCTTGAGCTCCCGGAGGTGGCGCAGGCCTGGAACAAAATCAACAGCATGACCTCTGCATGCCTGCCCCCAGGGTGGGCAGTGCCCGGGTGCAGCGTGACAGGGGCTGGTCCACATAATGAACTGCATGGGCCATTGGCGCCGACAAGCTGAAGGCTTCGTTTTTGTTCCTAAAAGCCTCTGGAAACCGACACGTCAGTGCCAAGTCCTGGGCTCCCTTGAAAGCACCGAGTCCTTAACCATCAGTGTTTACTGTGAGGGTCACCCGGAGGTGCTGCGGTTTCGTCAGGGCCATGAGACCCAGAGCGGCTCTGCAGAGCCAGCCTGACTGTCCGGAGTCCCGGGAGGAGTGGTGGCCAGGCCTGGCCACTGCAGGGGATGCGGGGACCCCAGGTACAGACAGCTGGCCAATGCAGGCATCCGTTCTTACTCCCTTGCAAAGCCTCATGGAGGGGAAAGCCAAGGAATTTGTGTAAAGGCACTAACTACATGGTAAAGGAAGCAGGACAACACCAAAGTCGACTAGTCTGGATGCCGAAAAGCAGGTGACAGCCAGGGACAGCTGCAGGGAGTGGTCCTGGGAGCCTCGGCCTCATTTGTGGAGGACCAGGGCAGGAATGCTGGGCCCCAGCCCAGGAAGCCTGCGCTCAGAGTGTGTGAGGCCGTGAGGGCAGGCTGGGGTGACAATGGGGCTGAATCCCAAGATGCCCCAGACCTCGGCCCCCGCTTGGCTCCCCTCCACTGACAGCCAGTCTATACTCCACAGGCAAGGGAGAGGGGAGGAGAGACGAGGCTGAGGGAGGGAAACCGCAGAAAACATTCTAGAACACTCCCCAGCTGAAGGGCATGCATTCAGGCCCAAGGGGGCTGAGGGGGAAGCCCTGCAGGTCCCAGGGAAACAGGACCCCGAAAGGGGCTGCAGGCAGAATGGACCTGGAATCTCAGCAACCACAGGCACCAGGAAACCTAAGGCCACTTGCAGTTCTGAAGAAAGCAACTTTGGCCCAAGAATTTTACCAGCCAGCCGGCCAGAGAGGCCGGAGAAGGCAGGCGGCTCCAGACATGAAAGGCTTCTCCCAAGTCACCCCGGGACCTTTCTGTCAAGCAGCTTCTAGGAAAAAGAAATAAAAAACATACAAAAAAAGCAAGAGCTACTGGAGGATGTGTGTCACCAAGACAAACGGAGTAACTAAGAAAGGCAGCAACACAGGATTCCAAAGCTGCGGGACCCACTCCAGGCAGACGCGGGTGCCCAGGCCAAGGGAGGAGAGAACACACTTGGCTCAGAGACCACGGGCTCCAGGAGGACAGAACAGCAGACGTGGCAGAGCTGGGGGCTGAATGAGGGATATACAAGTAGAAAGCTAAGCACATTTTACAAACTGCAACCTAGGAAAAGGCAAAGCGAATGCAGGAGCACGGAGGGCCTGGTGTCCACAGAGAGCTCCACACGGGAGCCCCGAGGGCCTGGTGTCCACAAAGGGCCCCACAGGGGAGCGCTGAGGGCCTAGTATCCACACAGGGGGAGAAATGGCAGCTGGGGAGGGCCCAGTGTGGCTCCTCACAGTGCCGTGTGGACTGCCACATAGTAGGTGTGCAAGAAGCTGGGCATGGTGGCTCACGCCTATAATCCCAGCGCTTTGGGAAGCCGAGGTGGGAAGATCGCTTGAGCCTAGTAGTTCAAGACCAGCCTAGGCAACAAGGTGAGACCCTGTCTCTACAAAACATACAAAAATTTGGCAGGTGTGCTGACCGCACCTGGAGTCCCAGCCATTCAGGAGGCCAAGGCAGGAGGATTGCTTCAGCCCAGGAGGTTAAGGCTGCAGTGAGCTGAGATCAGAGACTGCACCACGACACTCCAGCCTGGGCGACAGAGTGAGACCCTGTCTCAATAAATGTGTGTGTGTGTGTGTGTGTGTGTGTGTGTGTATATATATATATTTTTTTTTTTTTGAGATGGAGTCTCGCTCTGTCGCCCAGGCTGGAGTGCAGTGGCGCAATCTCGGCTCACTACAAGCTCCATGCCCGGCTAATTTTTTGTATTTTTCACAGGGTTTTAACACAGGGCTTTTGTATTTAACACAGGGTTTCACTGTGTTAGCCAGGATGGTCTTATCTCCTGACCTTGTCATCCGCCCGCCTCAGCCTCCCAAAGTGCTGGGATTATAGGTGTGAGCCACTGTGCCCGGCCATAAATATATATTTTTTAAAAAGAAAGAGAAAGACAATCTAGGGAAGAAAGCCGCCATCACCGAGCAGCACGGTCAGGAAGTCAGTGGACGTGTCAGGGTCTCATGGAGAAAGGCAAGGGTCACTCACCTGTGCCAGCTGAGCAGGGTTGTAGAAGGGCACGGCCCCGCTGGGAGGGCCGCCTGCAGCAGGGAGGTCGCCAGGAGCCTGAGAAGCACAGAGAAGTCACCTCAGCGGGGCTGTGCTGCACAGCAGCTGGCATTTCAACTGCAGATACAGACGCCGCTTCTACGTGGGATTTACGGTACTTGTAAATAAACTACAGAAGCAGACTGAAGGCACTTCTTGCAACACCGGATTTAGTTATTTTATGGTTCATAGAAAAATGGTGAAAATCAAAGCAACGTGCAGAGCCAATGTTTTAAGCACCGGAACATGCAACAGGAAGGTGCACACGGCACTGAGGTGGCGCTGAGCGTGCGAGGCGGTTAGGAGGTGCCCACGGCTGCAGACCTAAGGCTCCAGCCATGACACGAGGCCCAGAGCTCTCATTTGCAGGCAGAAGGGTCACAGCAAGCCTTTCTGCTGAGCCACGGTTGCAGCTGTGCCGTGACAGGCAGAAGATGAAGGGTTCGTTCACCTCCCTCCCACACTGGCCGCAGGACACCGCCACTGCTGCACTCGCCCCGGCCTCAAACCAATGTTCTCATGCTTCATCAGAAAGGAGAAATCTTCCTTCCAGAGGAGAGCATCCTGACCCAGGAAACACTCACACGGCGAGGCCACGCCCCAGGCCCGTCATTGGAAAAACCAATTCGAGCAAAATGACAGAACCCACTCATTCGCTAGGACACCTCGGGGTTGGTCCAGTCGCCCCGTGTATGTGGATACTGAACAGCAAACCCCCTTTAAGGGAACACTGCTGTAATCCCAGCATTTTGGGAGTCTGAGGTGGGCGGATCACCTGAGGTCAGGAGATCGAGACCAGCCTGACCAACATGGAGAAACCCCGTCTCTACTAAAAATACAAAATTAGCTGGGCGTGCTGGCGGGTGCCTGTCATCCCAGCTACTCAGGAAGGCCAAGACAGGAGAATCGCTTGAACCCAGGAGGTGGATGGAGGTTGTGGTGAGCTGAGATCACACCATTGCATTTCAGCCTGGGCAACAAGACTGAAACTCTGTCTCAAAAAAAAAAAAAAAAAAAAAAGGAACCCTGTACCCTTGGTCACGTGACGCTGAGGGAGACAACGGGCGAGGTTAGTGGCAAAGCACACACGGCGAACCGGCACCGCGTGCTCAGGGACACAGGCCAGCTCTCATGTTAGTGAGGACCACCAGCCACAGGTACCTGATTAAAATGCTGGCTCACTTCACGTGATAATGAACTCATTGAACTACAGCGCGAAAGCTACAAAACAGCAAGAACATACATAAAACACGGACAAAAGTCAACATGCGCGTCACTGTCCAATCCAAGCCGTCAGTTCCATTTCAAAAGCTTTGTGATGCCATTAGAATCAATATAACTCAAAAGGAAAAAAAGCCAGTGTTAGCTTAAGATTCCTGTCTTAACGTAAAGCTGTTATCCCGAAACAACCACTATCTCAGGGGAGGGCTGGGAGGAAAAGTCCAGCCTTGGCCTAAGCCAGCTTCACCTCCTGACACCTCACAATTCAAGACGATTCCATGCTGTTGAGGGGAGGGGACCGGGACTGAGGTGACAACTCAAACCCCTTCACCCTTCCTGAAGCTCCTAAATGGTTTTATTAAAACAAGTGCAATTTTTTTTACCCCCAGGAACGCCACCTTTGAGGTGCTCTTGTTTCTAAACTGCCTCTTCCTACCCAGTACCGCCCTCCATAAAGGAAGAGGCACCTGGACAGTGAGCTGCTGGGGAGGCCTGGGCTGTGGGAGGCCCTGGCGTCGGCACTGCTTACCTCTCCTCCCTGGGAACCCTCAGGCTTAGAGGAGGGGAGTTCAGAGCCAGGGAGTGACGCTGCAGAGCTTAAAACCTCCCAAGGAAAAGAAGAATTGCAGCAACCAAATCCCAGGGAATTTAAGCCTCTCACCCCAGGCCGAAAAATAGGAAGCTGTTCTGGCCTGGGTTGCAAACGCCCTCTTCCACGTAAAGTACTCCTCAGAGAGAAGTGACAAGAAAGGTGCCTCACACGTGGCTCCAGCCGCAAAACCCTGCTGGCTCTGGACCCCCACAGCTCTCTCCCAGTTGCCTGTGTGTCTATGACAGGCTTGCAATCTGGGGATAGTGTTATTCCCATTTTACAGAGAGGAAAACTGAGGCTTAGAGAGGTGAGTGACTGTTCCATGCTTTACACAGCTGATGAATGGAGAACAGGATTAGGCCCAGGCCTGTCCCACTCCCCCTGTAGAGAGTGCAGTCTGAGCTGTTCTTTTTTTTTTTTTGAGATGGAGTCTCGCTCTGTCACCCAGGCTGGAGTGCAGTGGTGCAATCTCAGCTCACTGCAAGCTCCGCCTCCTGGGTCCAAACGATTCTTCTGCCTCAGCCTCCTGAGTAGCTGGGATTACAGGCACCTGCCACCACACCCAGCTAAATTTTGTTTTTAGTAGAGACAGGGTTTCACCATGATGGCCAGGCTGGTCTCGAACTCCTGACCTCAATTGACCCGCCCACCTTGGCCTCCCAAAAAGCTGGGATTACAGGCGTGAGCCACCACTCCCAGCTGGTCAGAGCTATTCTACTTCACATGGGAGTCATTTTTTTTTTTTGTTTTGAGACGGAGTCTCGCTCTGTCACCCAGGCTGGAGTAGAGTGGCCGGATCTCAGCTCACTGCAAGCTCCGCCTCCCGGGTCCATGCCATTCTCCTGCCTCAGCCTCCCGAGTAGCTCGGACTACAGGCGCCTGCCACGTCACCCGGCTAATTTTTTTTGTAATTTTTAGTAGAGATGGGGTTTCACTGTGTTAGCCAGGAAGGTCTCATCTCCTGACCTCGTGATCCACCCGTCTTGGCCTCCCAAAGTGCTGGGATTACAGGCTTGAGCCACCGTGCCCGGCCTCCCCCCGCTTTTTTTTTGTGGAGGAACATATACTTAACTTTTATTATTGGTAGATAATTTCTCTTTAACTTAATTTTATTTTTTCCAATTTTAAAAATTATAAAATACACATACCATAAAATTTACCACTTTAATCATTTTTAAGTTTTAAGCACATTCGCCGTGCTGAGCAATCATCACCGTCACCATCCCCAGATCTCGGTCTTCCCACACAGCTCTGTCCCGCCTGGCACCACGCGTTCTACCTGCCGTCTCTATCATACACAAGTGTGAGGCATTTCAGACAGAACACTCTCTGCGTACACACTGGGTACTGACTTGCAGAAGGCAAGGCCCTATCTGGCAGGATGGGGAGGTGACTCCTCGCTGGGTACCCTTCCCCTCTTTCCCACCGCACCCACTCACCGTGGGCTCTGGGGCAGGCTCTAGATTGGCCAGGCCCCTAGCTGGTGCAGGCCCTTCCCTGCCAGTCCCGTCTGGAGGCTGTGGTTCTTCTGCATCTGGGGATGAGAGAGCGAGGAGGTCATGATTCCATCCAGAACATCCCTGGGGTCTCACTGAAGACACCCGGAGAGGAAGAGAGTTTCGTGCTGCACACACGGCACACGCAGAATCAGGCAAATCATAAAAAAACCACAAACCAACCCCAGGCTCCCTGCGGGCTGGCCAGGTCATTCTTTTAACAGGACATTTAGGAGAGACTCACAGAAAGAGGGTCAAAGGTCAAGAGAATGGGGCTGGTGCTTGTACTGCCTACCTGGGCTCGGCACAAACAAGTTGGAAGGAATCGGGAGTGGCGCGAGTGGAGCGACAAAGTCCGCAGGAGCAAGAGCCGGCTCGTTCCGCTGGGTCCCACTTGGGTTCAGGACGTCCACGTAGCGAGCTCTGCTTCCGGCTGCAAAGGGGAGGGAAGCAAATTGAGGCGAATGCGCCAGGCGGCCTCCAGTGCTCACTGTGTCAGAGCAAAAGCACGCAGGGACATGCCGGAAGCCACGTCGTGGCCCAACCCTGACGAGGACACCTTTCTACACGCAGATGTGTTTTGGCTTTTGGCCTTGGGGTGGTTCCCTATCTCACCCCACTGTGGCACAGGCCCTCTGCTTCTGCACGGACATGGCTGTGCCCACAGCTTGTCAACGCAGACGGCTGTGGAGCCACGTAATGCTCTGGAGAGCCGCGCTCGTCCCCAAGGCTTCCGCCTCGTGACACCAGCGTTACCTTACACGGTGCGACACCCATCACCTCCTCCCCACGCACAACAGCTACACGTTGGCCTCTCTCGGAGAGTTAGTCGTTCAAGCAAGCTCCCACTCCAAGGCCACCCTTACCTGCTCTTCTAGAGAACATGTTCACCGGGGCTCCAGCAGGCCCTGCGAGACCCGGCGGCGCAGCCTGCACAGCCTTGGGCAGCGAGGTTGGAGGTGGGGGCGGGGCTTTCTTCTGCAGAGGGAAACGCAGCTTCAGACACCACTGCGTGCACCAGAAACCCATTGGGACGGCAGTCAGGACGCTCCACAAGGAGCAGCAGCCGCCCAAATAGCACAGGGCCGCACGAAGCTGTTCCCTCCACTCACACCTCACACCCAACGGGAACTAAAATGACAATTTACCTCCTCTTCTGGCTCATTCAAATTCACCCACTGGTTTTTCTTTTCATCCCAAACAATCTGCCAAGATTTTAAAAAGAAAAAAGGTCAGTAGACTGAAGCTAAACAGAATTAGAATCTGATTAATGATGACACTTCAAAACTTCAGGAAACACCTACTCAGGTCTGCTCTGAAAGTGACAGAAAAACCATTACAGTTCCTCGGACGTCCCGTGCCGTATTCGACAGCACTCACCGATTTGTTCTTGTCATCTGGCAAATAAGCTTCTGTCTTTTTCTTCCCAGGTAGCCAACGAGAGAACCAGGATTCACCCTAAATATAAAAACCACAAGAAAAACTTTGAAAACACTATGTTCCATGAAATCAGCCAGATACAAAAAGACAAATTCTACGGGACCCACTTCTGTGAGGCCCCCAAGTCGCCAGATCCACAGAGAAACCAGGAGAATGGAAGTGGGAGGGAACCAGGAGTTGCTGCTCCGTTCAAGGGGACAGAGTTTCTGTCTGGGAAGGTGAGAATGGGAAGGTGAGAACGTTCTGGAGACGGACGGTGGTGATGGTAACACAACAGTGTGGATGTACTCAGTGCCACAGAACTGTGCACTCAGAAAATGGTTAAAATGGTGCATTTTGTTATGTGTATTTTACTGTAAATTTAAATAGATCAGAAGAGTAACGTGCCTTCATGAGCTTTTTATGTCTGAACACTGAGAAAGCTTCCGACATCCTCCCCTTTGAGAAGTGGAAGGCAGGCTGTCCAAGTCAGTGTGTGTCAGAGGCAGACACGGCCCCTCTGTGTTTCCCATGCGTGGAGAATTTGGTTATTAGGAAATTTTACTTTATTCTTCACATGATGCACTTCATTTTTGTTTGTGTTTTTTGAGACAGAGTCTTGCTCTGTTGCCCAGGCTGGATCTTGGTGCACTGCAAACTCTGCCTCCTGGGTTCAAGCAGTTCTATGCCTCAGTCTCCCGGGTAGCTGGGATTACAGGCGCCCACCGCTATGCACAGCTAATTTTTGTATTTTTAGTAGAGATTGGGTTTCACCATCTTGGCCAGGCTGATCTTGCATGATCCGCTTGCCTCGGCCTCCCAGAGTGCTGGTGTGACAGGCGTGAGCTGCCGCGCCCGGCCTCCCAGAGTGCTGGGGTAAAAGATACCATCACAGGTGAAAAGACAATCTACAGATTGGGAGACGATATCACAATCAATACCCCTAAAAGAGGACTTATATCCACAATACAGAAAGGACTCCTGCGAGTCATTAAGAGATCACCATTGAAAATGGAGAGGAAAGTCAGGGGCGGTGGCTGCAACTGCAGTCCTAGCTATGAGGCGGGACGATCACTTGGGCCCAGAAGCTTGAGACCAGCCTGGGCAACATAGTGAGACCCCATCTTTATGGGAAAAAAAAACAACAAACAAAAAAACGGATAGAGACTTGAACAAGGACTGCCCCAAAAGGGCAGTGAGATGGTAACAAGGACACAAGAAGGTGCCCAGCATCACACCTCGCTGGGGAGATGCAGAGTAAGACACAAGATGTCATCAGTCCCAGCACAATGGCTAAGTTGAAGAACTGGCACTGCCCAGTATTCGTGAAGGCGAGGGATATCTGGGGCCCTTGTTCTCTGCTGCAGGACGTGTGACTTGGTCCAACCAACCATTTAAGACAACTGTTCAGCAGTGTCTCCTAAAGCTGAACACACGCTCGTCCTGCGACCTAAACCCTCCCCTCCCCAGCGCACACCTAAGGAAAACAAGCACATTCACCAAGAGACTGGACAGGAGGCTCCCGGGGCCTGAATGATCCCAGCCCCACACTGAAAGCAGTCCCAAAGTCCACGACTGGGAGAGTCCGTGAGCCGGCAGCAGGCACACACCACAACGACAAAGGAGCGGCTGCCGTCTGGTCCCTTGTGGGTAGGTCTGACAGGTAATGGCCAGAGGGGACCTCTGGGGGCCGGACTGTGTCCCCATGCTGACCTGGGTGGGCTATTATCCTATTATCTAAAGGCACAAATACACAGACACTCATCATGCCGTGCGCACTGCAGACACTCAGCTGTTTGTATCAGGAGGCTGTCTGCATGTGTGCTGAATTAAGAGGCCGGCGCTCTAGGAAGCATGCCTCCTGCCCAGATGCTGCCGGCCGCTGGGCGCACCGGGGGCAGGCTGTACTACCTTCTTAGGTTCCTTCGTCTCTTTCTTGGCTGCTTGTCCGGCTCTCTTCGTTTCGGGAGCGGGTGGGAGAGACAGAGGTGGCTGCGTGGGACCCGAGTCGGCACGATCCCACCCTGGGGGGGCCTCTGAGTCTGGCGCCGTCCTCGAGGGGGCCTGTCGCAAGGCAACGCAGAACAGGCTATCCTGGGGTTCCTCACACAGGAACCGAAAGACAGTGGGGACGCGATTCCCCAGGCGTGTTCCCTAAATATGTCACTGAGAGGCCACATGACTCTGGTGCCCAGTGGGAGTCAGGGAGGGGGCTGGGGAAAGCAGCCCCCTGACTGGGCCTCCTGGAGCCTCTGCCTGGCCTGACTAGAGAAAAGCCAGCAGCACTTAATAAGCAGCTCTGTCTGGGAGCACTCAGCACTCAGAATGCAAACGCGGACCCTCGACGGAGATTCCGGGCTAGAAGAAATGGAGCGTGAGCACACACCGAGGGAAGACTGGCCAGAGTGGGGCGATGGGCATTCGCAAAGATACAATGATTTTTAAAAATATTTATTCCTGGGTCAAGTCCCAGTTTTTAATAGCTCAACCCTCACTTTTACTTTTCCAGGGACACAGTATTTTAAAGGGTAAAACACCGAATGCAAGTTCAAACTATAGCAATCGCCTACTGATGGGATGCCCAGGAAGGGCTGGGTATGAGTAAAGAAGGTTCCAGAATGCGGTCTGTATAAAAGCAACCATCTTATACCAAACATGTCTAATCAGATAAATCTCACTTTCAGGAAAACCAGTGAAAATGTTAGAAATTCTATATTCCAGGATATCTTGTGAGATAAAAAAATTAGAAAAGAAATTCTACTGTAGAAAAAGAGATGACCCGGCCGGGCGCGGTGGCTCACACCTGTAATCCCAACACTTTGGGAGGCTGAGGCGGGTGGATCACAAGGTCAGGAGTTCAAGATCAGCCTGGCCGAGATGGTGAAACCCCATCTCTACTAAAAATACAAAAAAAAAAAAAAAATGAGCTGGGTATGGTGGTGGGCGCCTGCAATCCCAGCTACTCAGGAGGCTGAGGCAGAGAACTGCTTAAACCTGGGAGGTGGAGGATGCAGTGAGCCAAGATCGCACCACTGCACTCCAGCCCAGGAAACAGAGTGAAACTCCATCTCAAGAAAAAAAAAAAAAGAAAAAAAAAAAGAAAAAGAGATGTCCAGGTACAGTGGCTCACATCTATAATCCCAGCACTTTGGGAGGCTGAGGCGGGCAGATCACTTAAAGTCAGGAGTTCGAGACTAGCCTGGCTAACATGGCAAAACCCCGTCGCTACCAAAAAATACAAAAATTTAGCCAGGCATGGTGGCACATGCCTATAGTCCCAGCTACCTGGGAGGCTGAGGCAGGAGAATCGCTTGAACCTGGGAGACGGAGGTTGCAGTGGACAAGATGGCGCCACTGCACTCCAGCCTGGGTGACAGAATGAGACTAGGTCTTGGGGGGGAAAAAAAAAAAGGTCAGGCTTGGTGGCTCACACCCGTAATCCCAGCACTTTGGGAGGCCGAGGTGGCTGGATCATGAGGTCAGGAATTTAAGACCAGCCTGGCCAACATGATGAAACCCCGTCTCTACTAAAAATACAAAAATTAGCTGGGTGTGGTGGCACATGCCTGGAATCCCAGCTACTTGGGAGGCTGAGGCAGAGAACTGCTTGAACCTGGGAGGTGGAGGTTGCGGTGAGCCGAGATCGCACCACTGCACTCCAGCCTGGACAACGGAGCGGGATGCCGTCTCAAAAATACAAAAAGAAAAAGAGATGTAGAATTCAGAGAAGGTGCCCATTTCGGAAGAATTAAAAATAATAAGGAAACTTCACGATATTTGGGTATTTCTTCTACTTAAAGTAACTGTTTTTATACTACTGAATTCTCTCTTTCCCGTCTTTCCCTACCAGCGTTTTGACCAACTCTTCATATTTTAAGGATGAAAGCTATTTAGAAGCACTTCCGCTTTAAGAAACAATTTTAGAAACAATTTCATAGTCCTCACTACCATCCTCCTACTTATAACTCAGCAAGGAGTCTGGGTGCCCACTCGATGAACTTTATGGAAAACAAATAGTTTAAGAAAATGTGACAACGTACCAGAGTAGCAAATTTTCCACCAAAATTTTCTTCACTTAGCTCAGAAAGGGAGTTTCCAACAGGTGCCTCCGGCGGCACGATCCCTGTCAACGGGAAAGAAAGCAACTGTGATCTCGGTCACGAGGCGGCGGGACGTGTGTGTGGCACACAGATCAACAGGCACACCGCCTTCCCACCCAGCTACCGCCACACCAGCATGATTTGCAGAAACCAAGACTGAACATCGTCCCACATGCGTGCACTCTTTTATTTTTAAAGTTAGGCCTGGCCGGGCGCGGTGGCTCAAGCCTGTAATCCCAGCACTTTGGGAGGCCGAGACGGGTGGATCACGAGGTCAGGAGATCGAGACCATCCTGGCTAACACGGTGAAACCCCGTCTCTACTAAAAAAAATACAAAAAACTAGCCAGGCGAGGTGGCGGGCGCCTGTAGTCCCAGCTACTCGGGAGGCTGAGGCAGGAGAATGGCGGGAAGCCGGGAGGCGGAGCTTGCAGTGAGTTGAGATCCAGCCACTGCACTCCAGCCTGGGCGACAGAGTGAGACTCCGTCTCGGGGAAAAAAAAAAAAAAGCTAGGCCTGTGTTTTGCTTTGTCCATATATACACATATAGACGTAGACACAGACCAGGGACAAGATCCACCAAATCAACTTCCAGACAGAAGTTCATGACCTGCCCCTGTCTGTCTCACCAGGCTGAGGTCAGGAGGGCCGTCTGAAGACAGATCCCAGGAGACCCATGGCCACCGTGCCCTGCCCCAAATGGCCATTTAAGCTTCATATCATAACAAAAAGCCAAGTTACAAAAGAAACTGGCATTAACACTACTATCGTAGTGAGACTCTGAACCCATCCAGTCTGTAACTTCCAGAATGTTTGGTCTACATTAAGACAAGTAACGTAAATTGTTTCAAGCTCAAATAACTTCAGTCTCTTCCACCAATTCCCACAAACACCACACCCAATCCTGCTTCTGCTCTCAAGACAGCATCTCTGCAGCCCCACCTGGGTCTGGGCTCCTGGCTTCCTGGAGCAAGTGTCTCCTTTCCTGCAGAGGTGGCACACCAGGCGGGAGGCCAGGGCCGGGGCACAGAGTTGCAGGATCAGGCCTGGAGGGCTCCGGGAAGCCAAGTGCAGACCCTGGGGTCACACAGCCAGGACCCGGCTCCAGGGGCCCCGGGGGCAGGGGCACTGGGAACATTGGCACCCTGGCAGGACTGGCCAACGGGCCGTCAGGGAGCGTCTGCAGAGCTGCATGGGAACAGTGGAGAAGAGGTCTGGGGTTACTGAGGGTAGCTTGAGTCACTGGAAGGAGCTGATACTCAACATGTTTATGGCAAGTGACTGTACAGCTCCATTTCTGTTACAAGACAGGCCCAACGGAACAAAGAGCCCTGAAATCACCACCGCGCTGAACCATCAGTGGCTTGGAGAAAAGCAGAACATTCGCTTCCTTTGCTAGGGGTGGGGGCAGGAGGAACACTAGTGCAGTCAGAGTGTCACGTGGGCTCCTGGGCATGGCCCAGCCCAAGCGCAAGCCCACAGCGACCGTCTGGCACAGAGTTCTGCTAGACTCGAGTCCCCTCCTCCACGGTCAGTGGTCAAACAGGCCATTCATTCATTCATTCATTCTTCCGACTCGACATAAAACCTGGGAGGGCTGCTGCCTGCCAGCACCATGCTGGGCCCTGGATGCTTCAAGAACAAAAGAAATGCTGGGTCCTCACGGGGGTCAGGACAGATGAACTGAGTAAGAAGAGCAAGCACTAAGGAGAGCAATCAACCAGGACGTGGTAACGGTGTCTGAGGACGATGCAGAGTGGACGTCAGGCAGGGAGGGTGGGCAGCGAGGCAGTGGGCCCAAATCAGGAGTGTGGCTGGTCCACAGCATGGGAGTCCACACAGCACCAGGGCAGGAGCGCTTAGGGCTGACCCCAGAGGGCCTGTGGCCACTGTGAAGACCCTGGCTTGTCCTCAGGTGAGACGGAGACCCTGGAGGGTCTGGGGAAGAAGCAGGAGGCGAGCAGTAAGGAGCCATGCTCGTCCAGGCATGCGGCCCTGCGTGCAGGCTGTGCTGGTGAGGTTCACTGACGAAGGAAGCCAAGGAGCATGTGAGAGGAGGGCATCTGGACTTGACTCCCTGCAGCTCTGGGCTGGCCCTTCCTCCGATGGGGCCGACTGGGAGAAGCAGGCTTCAGAGGAGCACAGCCGAGGGTGCTGCCCCGACATGGTGCAGCTGCGGCTCCCGAAGAAGCAAGCAGGGAGGCTGAGCAGGGAGGCTGAGCAGGGAGGCTGAGCAGGGAGGCTGAGCAGACAGCGGGCACGCAGGGCAGTGTCGCCAGCACACGGGTATTTATGGACATGGAAAGCCATCAGCCTCCATCTCAGCAGGGAGGAAGCATGAAGGGAAGAGGAAGGAGACCGAGGAGACCCACAACCACCGTGGTGGTGCGAGATGCTGCCTCAAACAGTCCGCATCTGAAAGCAGTTCTCCAGGAGGCAAGGGCGCAGACCACAGCTCAGCCAGCAGGAAGCCGGGGCCTGTCCAAGGGCAGCAGCCGCGCACCTGGGCTCACCTGAGGGCAGCAGCCGCACGCTGGGGCTCGAGTGCTCAGGGCTCGGCACGGGCACGGCCAGCAGCGGGTTGGCGATCCCCAGGGCCGCTGGCTGACTGAGTCCTGCCCCGTCCTGCTCCACCTCAGAGCTCGGCGTGCTGGGACACTGCTGCGGGAAGGCTCCGTCCTGATGCCATACTCCAGCCCCCTCCTGAGGGAGAACAAGGCCTGCCCTGTGGAAGCCACCTGTGGCCGCACGGCAGCGCCGCCCACCCGCCACCACCATGCTTGCTGTGTCCCTACTTCAGGACAGGAGGCACTCAACGCCCTTTCTGGGGAATTGGGGAATTCTCATAGGCACACAATCGCAGTTATACTGTCTTTAGATACATACTTTCAGTGTGGACATAACAGGGACAGAAGCCACCTCACCAGATGCCTCAGGGCCACCCCAAGCCAAGGCTGTACCTTGATCTGCTGCTCCACCTGCTGCAGGTGAACCAGCCACGTGGGTGCGGCCAAGGACTCCTCTTCCGGCTTCTCTTTCAGCTGGGGATCGAAGAGTCGTAACTGGGAAGCCATCTAGACACGGGTAAAAATCAGAGGCCCCTGTCACCACCGGGTGATGGCAAGTGAGCCATCTTCAAAATGCCCGGGCAATGCAGCTTCAGTGTTCACTGGGGATGAAGTCTAATTAGCTGCATACATGTTTCTAGCATGTGCTTAGGTGACACACCTAGCCCACGGGATGCTGGGCGACTGTGGGAAGTTGCTGTAGACGACCTCTTGGCCATGGGCACTGGGTCGGCAGCGCTGGGCACCCCCTGGAACATGCCTGGCCCGAGACTACTACCTGACCATGTGGACTTGACTCAGTAAGAGCCGGACTCCCAGGTAATGTCTGCAAGCTTTCATCGGGATTGTGGGGGACGCAAAGCGGGGCAGAAGCGGGCAGAATACAAGTTTGGCCCTGTGTTCATAACCACTGAGGCGGGGGATGAGCACCTAAGGATTCATCAATGACTCTCTGAACTTTGAAATCGGTCTAAAAATGTCCCTAATACATTTTTTGGGTATCCCATGAGCACGTTCTCACAAATGGAACTACTGACGAGAGGTGAAGATCCTGGGGCAACACAGGCGCCGCCTACACCTGTCCCGTGGCACCTCCCATACTCTCTGCCAGTCACACCGCCTCCGTTTTACAGGGGAAGAAACTGAGGCTTGCAACAGTGCAGCCAGGACTCAAACAAAGGCTGCTGGACTCTGGACACTTAAGCTATCAACCACCAGACTAAATTTCCTCAGAATAAGAACATCCTGACTGGGCACGGTGGCTGACACCTGTAATCCCAGCACTTTGGGAGGCCAAGGCAGATGCATGCATCACTTGAGGTCACGAGTTCGAGATCAGCCTGGCCAACATGGTGAAACCCCATCTCTACCTAAAATACAAAAAATTGGTCAAGCGTGGTGACGGGTGCCTGTAATCCCAGTTACTTGGGAGGCTGAGGCAGGAGCATCGCTTGAATCTGGGAGGTGGAGGCTGCAGTGAGCCGAGATCGCACCAAACTGCACTCCAGCCTGGGTGACAGAGTGAGACTCTATTTCAATAAAAAAAGAATATCTTGGGCTGGGTGCGGTGGCTCACGCCTGTAATCCAGCACTTTGGGAGGCGAGGCGGGTGGATCACGAGGTCAGGAGATCGAGACCATCCTGGCTAACACGGTGAAACCCCCTCTCTACTAAAAATACAAAAACTTAGCCGGGCGGGGTGGCGGGCGCCTGTGGTCCCAGCTACTTGGGAGGCTGAGGCAGGAGAATGGCGTGAACCCGGGAGGCGGAGCTTGCAGTGAGCTGAGATTGCACCACTGCACTCCAGCCTGGGCGACAGAGCGAGACTCCATCTCAAAAACAAAACAAAACAAAAAACAGTATCCTACAGACAGTTCCTTCTGATTGTGAAACTCGCTGCCAAGGTTTCGTGCTGGCACATGGTGCCTGAGAGTCCCCAGGCTAAGAGTCAAAACACAAAGCCATTCAGAGATCTTCATCTGCCCAAGAGGCAGGTTCTGAGCGCCTACCACAACGCACATCTGACCCATCGCCACCCCCACGCCCGGGGGCTCTGGCAAGCCCTCCTTCCCTGCAGTCAGCACAGCATCCTGAGGACCGGCGCCGGGCACAGCACCTGCACAAGCTGGCTGATCAGCACCGGGGAGTACAGGTGCGGCTGCGTCAGGATGCTCTTTGCGATGGCCTCACAGTAGTGGAAGGCTTGTGTGGCCAGTCCCATTTCCGCCAGGCGGCAGGAGTAGATGAACTTAAACACCTGAAACGACAGAAATCTTGTTGCCCTGCGGCTCCCCCGCTTCCAAGCATCACCGAAGGACAAAGCCTCGCGCTGCCCCGGGGCTCCCCTGAGTCCGAGCATCACCGATGGACAAAGCCTCGCACTGCCCCGGGGCTCCCCTGAGTCCGAGCATCACCGATGGACAAGGCCTCGTGCTGCCCCGGGGCTCCCCGGTTTCCGAGTATCGCGGATGGACAAAGCCTCGCGCTGCCCCGGGGCTCCCCTGAGTCCGAGCATCGCGGATGTACAAAGCCTTGCGCTGCCACGCGGCTCCCCTGAGTCCGAGTATCACGGATGGACAAAGCCTCGCGCTGCCCGGGGGCTCCCCTACATCCCAGCGTCACCCTGGAAGCTGTGGACTCTTGTGAACGCTTCACTCATCATCGTCTCCCACCCACCACGCCCACCGACCACAGTCCTAGTCCCTGTTCCCTGAAGGATTTCAAGAGCAAAGTAAATGACTAAGCTGGGAAGAAACCCACTCTGCTTTCCCCCCCCACCCCTTTCATGGCGTCACTCGGCTCTCACAGCCACAACACCCCAAGAGCGCGGCACTGAGACCACTGCCTTCCGTGCAGCTCCAGCTGCCCACAGGCATTCTCTACTTTTTTTTTTTGACAGGGTCTCACTTTGTCACCCAGTCTAGAGTGTGGTGGCACAATCCAGCTCACTGCAGCCTCAATCTCCTGGGCTCAAGCGATCCTCCCACCTCAGCCTCTGAGTAGCTGGAAACACAGGCGCATGCTGCCACGCCTGGCTAATTTTTGTTATTTTTTTTTTTTTTGGTAGAGACAGGGTGTCATTATGTCGCCAGGCTGGTCTCTAATTCCTGAGCTCAGGTAATCCACCCACCTTGGCCTCCCAAAGTACTGGGATTACAGGCATGAGCCACCATGCCCAGCCTCTCTCTATGTATGTTTTATACACACCACCCCCACACTGCATCAGAGAATACCTCCCTCAAATATTAAAAACAGGCCGGGCGTGGCAGCTCACACCTGTAATCCCAGCACTTTGGGAGGCTGAGGCAGGCAGATCACGAGGTCAGGAGATCGAGACCATCCTGGCCAACACGGTGAAACCCTGTCTCTACTAAAAATACAGAAAATTAGCACGGCGTGGTGGTGCTGCCTGTAGTCCCAGCTACTCTGGAGGCCGAAGGGAATGGCTGAAGCCTGGGAGTGATCAAAGCAGAGTGCACTCCAGCCTGGGCAACGAGTGAGACCCTGTCTCCTTTAAAAAAAAAAAGCTCATGAAAATAACTGAAATCAAATGCAAACGGAAAGCCTCAATTCAATGTGATCTAGTTTTTTAACATTTTAGATCAAATGTCTTCTCAAGATCCTCCCCCAAAAAACTCACATCATTTTTTTCCATAAGAATTCAAAAAATCGGCCGGGCGCGGTGGCTCAAGCCTGTAATCCCAGCACTTTGGGAGGCCTAGACGGGCGGATCACGAGGTCAGGAGATCAAAACCATCCTGGCTAACCCGGTGAAACCCCGTCTCTACTAAAAAATACAAAAACCTAGCCGGGCGAGGTGGCGGCGCCTGTGGTCCCAGCTACTCGGGAGGCTGAGGCAGGAGAATGGCGGGAACCCGGGGGGGCGGAGCTTGCAGTGAGCTGAGATCCGGCCACTGCACTCCAGCCTGGGCGACAGAGCGAGACTCCGTCTCAAAAAAAAAAAAAAAAAAAAAGAATTCAAAAAATCTAAGTAGCCAAAAGCTTGTTAGCACTGAGCGCCTGCCCACCCATGACAGCTGCAGGCTGGCAGCACCTGCTTACCTGGAAACTAGGCAGGGGGCAGGTCTGGGCACCCAGGGACTGGGCGTACTCATAGGCTTCCGTCCTCTGGATTGCTTCATTGGTTGCGAACTTTAAGAATGGCAAACTGTAGAGGAAGAGAATTATTTTGATTTGAAAAACATGGCCAATTATTAGCATAGTCAACCTCTGAGCAGGTCATCCAGAAGTGTGTTCCACCATGTGACAAATCAAGACATGATTCTGGCCATTTCTGAATTAACTAAAGCAGAAGGATTTCGTTTTACTTTTAAAGGAAAACTTACAGGACTACACTGACTTGCTTCTTTACCTGTGATTTGATCCAATTAAGACAAGCTTTGTAGTTTTCTTCGTATAAACACCAAATCCAACCTGGGCCATAAGGTAGCAAAAGTGGGCCGCGTCTAAGAGGCCCTTCGAAGCTGGAGAGACACGAAAACCAGGCGGAGTCTCAGTGACTGGGGACGCCCGCAGAAGTCAAGCATGTGCACAGAAGGCACTAGAGACGCGAGCTGGACCAAGAAGGCCGGGTTCTTGTGATTTCTGCCAATGCCACAGACAACCGGGCCTTCGGTGCTCCATCCATGACGCCCGATGCCCATCTCCACCCCTGACCTACCCAGAGTGTCGCCCATGGTAGCCATCGTCCTGGACTCGACGTCCATATTGTTGTTCAAGTTGGACAAGACCATGGCAAGGTGTGGCCTCCAGTCTCCCCATTTCTCGTCTCCACAGCACTAACATGAGGAAAAACAAAACGAAGCCTCATCCCTGGAAGCCGGCACCATTTCAGTTCCACACAGCTGGGCTCACCAGCACGAGGAGGCACCTCACGGCCTGTGACAGCGTCACCCATGAGCAAACTCCACACAGGCAGAGGAGCCTGTGCGAGCCACCAGGCAGTGCCACTCACCGTGGACGCGGCGGGCATCCGCCCGGACATGAGCTGGTAGACTGTCTGCAGAGGGTCGTTGATTGGGAGGCTGTTGGCAAACCTAGACAGACATAAACACAGAATGACCCCATGCTGGCTCAGCTAAAAGAAAAAATCCGGCCGGGCGCGGTGGCTCATGCCTGTAATCCCAGCACTTTGGAGGCCGAAGCGGACGGATCACCTGAGATCAGAAGTTAGAGACTAACATGGAGAAACCCGTTTCTACTAAAAATACAAAAATCAGCTGGGTGTGGTGGTGCGCACCTGTAGTCCCAGCCACTCAGGAGGCTGAGGCAGGAGAATCGCTTGAACCCAGGAGGCAGAGGTTGCAGTGAGTTGGGATCGTGCCACTGCACTCTAGCCTGGGCGACAGAGCAAGACTCCATCTCAAAAAAATAAATAAATAAAATAGTAATAAAATAAATTTTTTAAAAAAACCAGACCTCAGCCCTCTGATGTAATGATTAGACTTACATTTCACTTAGGCAAAGTACACATATCTCAATATTTTATTTTTCTTTCCTATCTCAATACTAAAAAAAAAAAAAAAAAAAAAAGCTGTAAAAGATAAGGCCATGTGTGGTGGCTCACGCCTGTAATCCCAGCACTTTCAGAAGGTCAAGGTGGGCAGATCCCTTGAGGCCAGGAGTTTGAGACCAGCCTGGCCAACATGGCAAAACCCCATCTCTACTAAAAATACAAAAAATTAGCTGGGTGTGGTGGTGGATGTCTGTGGTCCCAACTACTTGGGAGGCCAAGGCGTGAGGATCACTTGAACCTGGGAGGCAGGGGTTGCAGTGAGCTGAGACTGCGCCACTGCACTCCAGCCTGGGCAACAGAGCAAAACTCAAAATTTTAAAAAAAGCTATAAAAGATGGAGACTAGGCCGGGTGCGATGGCTCACGCCTGTAATCCCAGCACTTTGGGAGGCCAAGGCAGGCGGATCACGAGGTCAGGAGATCAAGACCATCCTGGCTAACATGGTGAAACCCCGTCTCTACTAAAAATACAAAAAAACTTAGTTGGGCGAGGTGGTGGGCACCTGTAGTCCCAGCTACTCAGGAGGCTGAGGCAGGAGAATGGCGTGAACCCGGGAGGCAGAGCTTGCAGTGAGCCGAGATCACGCCACTGCACTCCAGCCTGGGCAACAGAGCAAGACTCCGTCCCGAGACGGGCGGATCACAAGGTCAGGAGATCGAGACCATCCTGGCTAACACGGTGAAACCCCATCTCTACTAAAAAATACAAAAAACTAGCCGGGCGAGGTGGCGGGCGCCTGTAGTCCCAGGTACTCGGGAGGCTGAGGCAGGAGAATGGCGTAAACCCAGGAGGCGGAGCTTGCAGTGAGCTGAGATCTGGCCACTGCACTCCAGCCTGGGCCACAAAGCGAGACTCCGTCTCAAAAAAAAAAAAAAAAAAAAAAAAAAAAAGGTGAAGACTAAGGAATTCACAGATTTTATGTGAAGTATTAAAAACCATGCAGTTAATAAAAAACTTTTAAGCTTTCCACAGCACGACCCAAGGAAGCCTTGAAGCCAAGGAAGCCCGAGTTCATGTGGGAGCACAGCATAGTCAAGTGAGATCTGCTTGCCACCTGCCACCAGTGTGGACACCGAGTGCTGCAGGGAGCCAGCAGGGCTCGCCACTGGACCAGGCCACCGTGGGACTGTACCTGGTCATGACTCGGGCGTGTGTCCGGCTGTCCATCTTACTTGCAAGCAGCAGAGCGTGACCCCACAGGCCGTTCTTCATTGCAGACTCCAAAGCATCCTGCAAAAGGCATTTCAGGGCCTTGGTGAGTTATCGGCGGTGCTCACGTGACATGAGTTAAGACAGGCGACAGGCCATGTGTCCTCACGCAGCAGCAGATACACAAACAACCCAAAGGCCTCAAAAACTTATTCACCATTTGGAGATTAAGACACATCAGCATTTCACTATTTTCCTGAGTTTCAAAGTCCCTGTGGTAGTGGGTATTTGTAGATATTTGCTGCTTTTATCCATTTTCAGCATAAAACATAAGCACGCTAATCACAAATAGGGCTAACCACGCCGCGCTGCCCACCACACCGCCCTGTCCACTGGGAAACACACGCGGGTCAATTCCCCGGTTCTAACAGGAGGCCTCCGCGAATATCCCGTCAGCACAGACTCAGTGGCTCCAGTAAGGCAGCCTCCCCTTTCGCCAAAATCATCTAGGGTATAATTTAGGACTTCTGGCTAGAAGGCAAAAATGCTACAGTAGAGGAAGATGTCAATAAAAGCTAAGAGGTTACATGACTTCAATCAGTTATACAACATCCATAATAGACTCATACTGATCAGGCCGGGCACAGTGGCTCATGCCTATAATCCCAGCACTTTGGGAGACCAAGGTGGGCAGACTGCTTGAGCCCAGGAGTTCGAGACCAGCCTGGCAACATGGTGAAACCCCGTCTCTATGAAAACAAACAAACAAACAAAGTTAGCCCGGCGTGGTGGCATGCAGCTGCAGTCCCAGCTACTCAGGAGGCTGAGATGGGAGGATCACGTGAACCCAGGAGGTCGAGGCCGCATTAAGTGGTGATCACGCCACTGCACGCCAGCCTGGACAAGAGTGAGACCTTGTCTCAAAAAATAAAAATAAAAAAATAAAAGTACTGGTCAAATATGCCCTTTCTGAGTTTATCATGATATAAAAGGACAGAGAGCTCTGGGCCTATGCAATGTCTCTGTTGTGCAGGGCCACACATGCCCATGAGACTGGCCTCTCCCCTGCTTAGCACATCCAAAGCGGACATCATGCATCCTAGACAGGCCCTCCTGTGAACACACTGTCCCTGCTGCAGTCACTATGGACCCCCCAACCCCACTGTCCCAGAGCAGGCTCCTGTCTCAGGTCCCTCACCTGCCCCGGTCCCCACGCTGCTGTGGCCCCAGTCACTGGACACTATACGCACTGGCTGCTCCCCTGCCCGCGGCCTTTCCATGCACTGCGCCTGACAGGCTCGGTGCACCCTCCCAACTCCCAACGACTTCTGGGCTGCGGACTCGAGCCTGACTTTGTGAGAACGCCAAAACTCGTGTCATGCACGTTTCATCTGAGACTTGGCACACACAGCAGGGACACGGCCCGTGCTCAACACGTGCATTTATTGAATGACTGAAAATTCCATCTGCAGGTCTCCAACACTGGAAATAGTTAGAAGGAAACCCACATGAACACCTCCAGAAGGATGGCATACAAGAGGCCGGCATCGTTCAGGAAACAGCAAGACCCGAAGCCCCACACCGCAGCGCGGACGCTCCCGAGAGGGGTCGTGTCCCTCCCCGACGGCTGCATCGCCCACACCAGGCCCGACCCAGTGGACACCTGCAAGCGCCAGGTGCCATGATGGGGAGGCGCACCTTCTTACGGCCATACAGCAACAGCTCCCTGAACCGCTCCGTCTCTCTCTCAAGAGAGCTGGCGGCAGCCGTTGGACCACCAGTGAGGAAAGAGAGCTGGGCCTCGCCAGACTCCTCTTCTTCCACCTGCTCCACCGCCTCGTTCGTGAAATCAATCAGGTTTGCTTCATTGGGCGACTTCCCAGGAAGCCACACTGTTCTGTGGTCTCGTAACAGAAGCTCCGCAATGTCGGTCCCTACCACGGTCTGTTCGGTTCAACAGGAACAGGAAGGAGAACAATGGCTCTCAGGTGAGGACACGTTAGACCACCACAGGCACAAAGCCCCACCCTGGACACAGTCAGACCCACAACTACCCGAAAGGCTGGCAAGGCTGGACTGAAACCTCATCTCATCCCAACTGCACGTTCCCTCTCCCTCCCCACCCAGTCCTCGAGGCTCCCACAGCTGGGCACGCAGATCTTGCCCTGCTCTGCCAGGAGGCTGAACATGCAATGCCCAAGACGAAATGAAGACCAGCAGGAAGAAACACTCTAGAAGTAAAAAGACACATACCCCATTCTGTCTGCATAGGAGAACAATAAAATTCCAAAGAAGACTTGCAGACTCTTTGTCAATTAAGTTTTCATTCTGCAAACATTTTATAGCTTTGTTCTGTGCAAAATTAATGACATCCACTTTATGGGTATCGTCTCTGTAGAAAGAACACACAGTGAGCAGTGATGTCTGCAAGGCCGGGCTCGCAAAGAAAAGCCTCAACAAGGAACATACTTGGCCAGGGGTCCCGGGAACGCCCGCATCTCCTCCTGCTCAGACGTGTGCTGCAGCAAGGCCTACGAGGAGAGGGCTGTGGGTCAGCGGCAGCCAGTGCGCAGCCACCCTGCTGGCAGGCCAGCCAACCCAGGCACAGATGCTGCACGAGAGAGGAGAGGGTGGCCTGGCCCACCGCCCCGCCCCACAGCGGGTGAAGGCTGTGTCAAGGCTGTTACATAGAACGTGGCCTGTGTGGGCCACAGCCATGATTTCAAACTTTATTTTAAGCAGTGAAATCCATTGTTTCTCCCCAAATCCTGAGGCAGAACCCCAATACATGTTACAGAAGCCTGTAGAAGCTGCAGGAAGAGGCGCACGCCAGCCCCACTCACCTCGGCAGCGCCGGGCCCATCTGCCACCCCGCCCCCCCTCACCTGGGCAGCGCCGGGCCCACCCGCTGCATCTATCATTGAAAAGCAGCAATAAAGCAAACATCCCCAAAACGAGGACAGGAAATGCATATACGATCAAACCACGTCTAACACCAAGGCAGACGCTTACAATACTGACTTTTAGGAGGACAAAGATACGACTAAACAGAAGAAAAACCCTACATATTGAAAATTCATAGGAATAAACATTTTTCCAAGGACAAGCTCTGTATGTCCAGAGACAAGGTCTGGCAATTGAAGATGACAAACTGCAAAGCACAGAGTTCCCCGGGGCGGCAGAGCAGTGACACCGTGTGTCATTACCTCCATGCTGTGGACCTCCACCAAGGCCGGCTGTCCTTCTGAAGGCAGATTGGGAATCACTTTGATAAGCTGACCGCCAGGGCCAAACCTGGCACAGACATGAGGCACTGAAAATTTTTCAGGAGAAGTTGGTCTTGATGAAACTGCATTTAAGATAAATGGAAAAAGAAACCATCAGCTTGTCACTGTTTGCTGCTTCTGAGCCTAGACTTTCAATGTGCCCACACAGCTGAAATCACCGGTGAGATTTATCATGACAAACTTCCAACTCAAAGTCGGTAATTGTTTAACATCATACTTAAAAGTAGAACTGAAGTGTATGTCAGGAAAAGAAAAATGTTGGAATCACTAAATATGAGAGCTATTCCCTTGCACACTGAGGAAGCTCCTGCGCCACCCTCGTGAGCCATCCCAAGGCTCCTTCGGCAGCGCAGGCTCCTCCTGGGCCTGGCCGTGCCCGAGCTCTTTCCCTTTCACAAAACCAGATGCAGACTGTGATGACCACACAACACCCAACAAAAAGGAGAGCAAAACACCTCAAGCAAAAAAGAAAATAAGGAGCCAGGCATAGTTGTGCAGGCCTGTAATCCCAGCACTTTGAAAGGATCCAAGGCAGGAGGGCCACCTGACCCCAGGAGATAGCAACCATGACCGTGCCACTGCACTCCAGCCTGGGTGACAGAGCGAGACCATCTCTTAAAAAAAAAAATAAATTGGCCGGGCGTGGTGGCTCAAGCCTGTAATCCCAGCACTTTGGGAGGCCGAGACAGGCGGATCACGAGGTCAAGAGATCGAGACCATCCTGGCTAACATGGTGTAACCCCATCTCTACTAAAAAATACAAAAAAACTAGCCAGGCGTGGTGGCGGCGCCTGTAGTCCCAGCTACTCGGGAGGCTGAGGCAGGAGAATGGTGTAAACCTGGGAGGCGGAGCTTGCAGTGAGCCGAGATCCGGCCACTGCACTCCAGCCTGGGCAACAGAGCGAGACTCTGTCTCAAAAAAAATAATAATAAAATAAAAATAAATAAATAAATAAATGAAAAAATGTTAACTGAAACAATACTTTACGAAAGTAAGGCCGGGCACAGTGACTCACACCTGTAATCTGAGCATTTGGAAGACGGAGGACAGATCACTTGAGGTCAGGAGTTTGAGACCAGCCTGGCCAACATGGCAAAACCCCGTCTCGACTAAAAATACAAAAATTAGCTGTGCATGGGGTGTCAAACACCCGTAATCCCAGCTACTCGGGAGGCTGAGGCAGGAGAATCGTTTAAACCTGAGATGCAGAAGTTGCAGTGAGCCGAGATCGCATCACTGCACTCCAGCCTGGGAGACAGGGTAAGACTCAAAAAAAAAAAAAAAAAAAAAAAAAGGAAACTCAGTCAGTCTACTGTTACATTCTGTAACTTTATATCTTTACATATATTTCTGCAATTTGCCAAGAAAAAGCATTTGAGCATCCTGGAAGGGAACTCTGACACACAGGATGCCTGCAGGAGCGGAGTCTCCAAAAGGAAGGAGTAGCTCCCTCCTGCAAGCCTGCTGAGCCACGGGGTCTGCGATGGGGATGTGACCAGGGGCCGCCCAGAGCCTGGACGTGGGCTGTCCTCAGAGTCACACTTGAAAACGCATGTCGGGGCAGCCAGGGCAGCTCTCAGGCCTTAAGCCAAACTGCAATCGAAGAGACAGCGTCAGCCCATCCTAACACGCTCTGCCACTTGGAAGGATGGATTGGGTCAGAGCCAGGCCAGGACATCACCATTCCAACCCCAGCCCTGACTCCCGTGTTCGGATCCCGGGCTGGGTGGCCGTCCCAGTGGGGTGAGCCAGTGTCCCTCTGTCCTGCTAAGCACACACCTTGCTCCATGGCAGGCCAGACAGTGTCTGCAGGGTAGCCATACTCTGGGAAGCCGGGGCCACTGTTGAAATTGCTGCGGTAGGTGCCGTAGGCGAAATCACCGTGAAAGGAGCCTGGAGGAAGCGGGGCCTCGTAGGAACTGGCAGCCACATTGTGGCTTCTGTAAATCTGACTCTTAGAAAACAAAGCAAACGGAAAAAATCAGTTCCCCAGGCACAGTGGTAAAAGCTTAGGTACACTGCAAACAGGATGGTGGTTCTAAACACAACCGTCTGCGTGTCTGTGAGGTGCCGCCGCGCACCTGGTGTGAGTGGGAACTGAGGCTGCTACGGCGGCTTGCCAGGCTGTGTGCACTGTGCAGGCTCCGTGCGGAGTGCTCACTGTGGACGCTGCGCCTGTCCACCTCTTCCCCGTAAGGGTCTCTGTGGGGATCGGGGTCGTCGTCAAAACTCCCCGTGAAGCGAGGGTCGTACCTCCAGTTGTTGTCACGTTTCTCGGGCCTAGAGGAAGCCGGGGGACAGAGGCAGAGGAATGGGAGCGCGGGAGGCCCCGTCCCCACGTGCCACGCGGCTGCCCAGGGGCCAAGACTGAGACCCCTGGGGCTGAGCCACAACACACCACACCCGGCCCTCAGGGCCCTCCGACACGCAGCTTTAGAGAAGTCCTGTGAATGCGTCTCCAGTGTGGCCACTGCTCTGGGCTGCAGGGCGCCACCGCTAAGGGACGACGAGAAAGAGTGAGCCCCGTCTCCCAGGTGCTCCCAGGGGTGCTGAACAGTCCTCTTGCTGAGGCCAGTTCTCCTCTAACAGTCCACGCTGGGAACCCTGGAAGGGTCTGCTCCCTCCTTCCTTTCAGACAGGGACCAAAACATCACGCAGATGCTCACCCAAACTACCAAAGCTCTTTGTTAAAACCCAGACATGAGGCCAGAGAAGCACTAGCGCGCCCTGGCTGCCCCCAGCCTCTTCCCCCCAGGGGTGCTCCACCAACCTGTCCCCGTAGGTGGAGTGCTCTCTCCTGTACGTGTCGTACTCTGCATCACACCAATACCTCCGGTCGTAGGTGCGGGGGTCCCTGACTCTGGCACTGTAGTGGTAACGATCCCAGTGACCTGGATCTGTGAGCAAGGAACTAATGATTAATACAGTAACAATCAAAAGAAGAAATGCCTCAGATATCACTGAAGTGACACCACCCCAGGACTTCACGCTCCAAGAACTCCTCGAGAAACCTAACTTATCTCCTGGAAACCAGCACGACACCAGGAAGCCATGAAATCTGGAGGGCCCGAGCTACCTAAAGGCAACTGGCTGATTTTTCTCTCAATACTTAAGTGTTTTAGATTAAAAGGAAAAAATATTTTTAGAAACGGTGCTAAAAGATTTTTTTTTTTTTTTTTTTTTTGGAGTAAGTTTCTCCCTTTTTCCCCCGGGGGGGGGGGCGCGGGTATGATCTCAGCTCCCTGCAAGCTCCGCCTCCCGGGTTCACGCCATTCTCCCGCCTCAGCCTCCTGAGTAGCTGGGACTACAGGCGCCCGCCACCTCACCTGGCTAATTTTTTTGTATTTTTAGTAGAGACGGGGTTTCACCGTATTGGCCAGGATGGTCTCGATCTCCTGACCTCGGCCTCCCAAAGTGCTGGGATTACAAGCGTGAGCCACCGCGCCCGGCCAAGATTTCTTTAGTAAGTCCTTTTTCTTCTTTTTTTTTTAAACAGAGATGGGGGTCTTACTATGTTTTGCAGGCTGTTCTTGAACTCCTGGGCTCAAGTGCTTCTCCCACACCTCGGCCTCCCCAAGCGCTGGGATCCCAGGCGTGAGCCACTGCGCCCAGCTAGTTCACTTTCACGGTTGCTGCTTTTTACTAGTTAATCCCCTAACTGTAAATTTTACTACTATTTCTTCACCTTAATGTGACTCATCAGGTTTTCAAAAATAATCTCAATATTAAAAGGTTACTTTAAAAGGGCTGTAAACAAAATGGATGTATCATTTTCAGCAAGTGTTTTTAGCAAGTATTAAGAAAAAGTGCTTGAAAGGTCTTTTATCATCTTTTCTAAAGATGTCTTTTCTTCTTCAAATTTATATTTAAAACAGGTGCAAATATCAAAGAGGATACTTGATATTTGTCAAGGGGATTCAGGGCCCAGAGCACGAGAGGTCACAGCCAGGGCAGGAGTGACCAGAGGAGGCTCTTCCTGGGACATGGCCACTGTGCCGCACACACTGCATAGAGGGCTGCAGCTGGACGCCGCCAGGGAGTACCCAGGTCACTGCCCAGTGGGCGTGGCCCACGTCCACACTGCCCCAGGCAGCAGCTGCCAGCCTCCTGCGGTCAGGAGTGCGGGGAACATGGCTGGTGGAACTGAGGAGATGGTTTTTCACTTCACTTCCTTTTCATCCATTTATGTTTACGAAGGCACATGTGGACACAGCAGCTCTCGAACTGCTGGTTACGCTCTGCTAGAAAATCAGAGAAATCTGCCAGTATGACAAAGATGCATTCATGCTAAGATTAAGATGAAATTCTGTAATGAAAAATATCAATATAATTATTTCCAAATACAAAGTATTTCCAACTATTTTGGCTCTTGGGCAAAAACATAAAGAGACTAATAAAAGGGGACATTTCCTGGAAGTCACCAGCAGGCGCTGGCTGGCCAGGGCTGCACGTCATCAATGTCTTTTGCACAAGGCACCTGCTAAGGCCAGCTGCTTGGAGCTCCTCGACATACCTCCATAATCGTACTGGCTGGAGTAATAACTTGCATAGTAATCGCTCTGACTGCTCCATCCACTTTTGGAACTATAGTATCCTTCAGGATACCCTTGCCTGAAAAAACACACAGTGCTGTTAAAAAGCAAATTACCTATTTCTTAAAGTGTGATATCAGCCAATACAAATAATTCCCAAAGCAACAGGCATTCATCAGAGCACTTTGCTTGTACAAAAATTCCAGTTAGAAGATTCAAAACAGTGGCAAGGATGAGACTGTGGAATTTCCCACCACGCGGCTAATTCAAATTCATCTTGGCAAAATAACTCAGAGCCGTCGGCTAAAAAGAACTGACCCCTTTTGTGTTCTCATTGCTGTAGCCTAGAAAAGTCAATGCTAAAATAGGTCCTAGAATTTTTATGCTCAGCAGAGGACAAAATGGACTGAGCTTCTTTTTTTTTTTTCTCGAGACAGGTCTCACTCTGTCGCATAGGCTGGAGTGCAGCGACACGACCTCAGCTCAACACAACCTCCACCTCCCAGGCTCAAACGATCCTCCCACTTCAGCTTCTGAGTAGCTGGGACTACAGGCATGCGCCACCACACCCAGCTAATTTTTTATATTTTTCGTAGAGATGGGGTTTCACCATGTTGCTCAGGCTGGTCTCGAACACCTGGAGTCAAGCGATCCACCCACCTCAGCCTCCTAAAGTGCTGGGATTGCAGGAGTGACCCACAGTGCCTGGTCTCAGTGAGCCATTCAAACCAACCTAAAATGCCAGTTTCACAGCCTCGACCGCAGACCGCTGCCTGTTGGTGCTCCCTGCATGCGCACAGGGTACCCCGTCGGAGTCCCTGTGTGTGCTTCTGGAGCGGGACTCTAAGGGCCCCACCTCCCCCTCAGGTCTCCTGAAGCTGACGTGGTGTCAGAATCCTACACGTGCCCCAGAAAGGCTGGTTTTGTAGACCAAGCCATGATCCTGACTCTCACCACAGGAAAAGCACAAGTTAGTACAATGACCAAGTATCAGACCTTCTGGTACTGTCAAGATTCTTGAAAGGCCAGCCTGGTAAACACAGTGAGACCCCGTCTCCATAACACAATAAAAAAATCAGCCGGGCATGGTGGCACACACCTGCAGTTCCAGCTACTCAGGAGGCTGAGGCAGGAGGATGGCTTGAGCCCGGCAGGTTTCCAGGCTGCAGTGAGCTATGACGGCACCACTGCCCACCAGCCTAGCTAAAAGGTGAGGCCTAAGAGACTCTTGAAAGGCCGTAAAAGCACCTTATACTTTTCATACAGTTTTCAATTTTAGAATGTGACCCTTCCCACGCCCCTTCGGGAGACGTCACAGGAGCCACACCCACCGCGGAGGTTGGCTGCTCGGCTGGCGCAGCACCTCTGCATGGAATGGGGCTGCTGGGTGGCACGCGCCCGGCCCACTCGTCCCCTACATCCAACTGCTCGGCCACAGTAACAAGCCCTGCCAACCGACAGCCTGAGTGGCCACTCCAAGGCCTATCACATTCATGTGGGCCACAGCAGGTTCTGGAGAAATTATCTGAATTGGGGTTTCCAAGGAGCTGCCGTCTCCTCAGCTGACCTTTCCAACCCCAGTCATTCACCAGGAGCGACAGCCTCAAAAATGAACAAGGCCGAGATGGCAGTGCCTGCGGGGATCGGACCACACCAGGCCCAGAGAGGCAAGTCCATGCCACGCGCAAGCGTGGAGGCTGAACACACGCACGAGACGTGTGCTCCCCAACCAAAGCGGGGGAGGGAGCAGAGAGGACTCCCCAGAGCCTGCGCAAGCCAGGGCTGAAGGCAGCCGCAGGATTCGAACACGGGAAGGAAGAGTGAGCCTGTGGGTCCGGTGACAACGTCACTCCTGTGGTGACCTGACCCCACCTCTGGTGAGAGTCCTTCTCCGTATCATGAGCCACCACTGGCCTCTCAGAATCGGTTCCCAGGTGAGCCTGGCAGGGCGGCCAGCAGAAGGAAAATGGAACGGTGAGAACCTCCCTGGCCGTCTCTCCTCCGTGCTCTCGCCTCTCAGGGCCTCTAGGAAACACCTGCCCGCTCACCCTCCACTGGACCTGGCAGGCTTTGAATCGGAACATGATCTTAACTTCAAACCCCGCTTCCCAAGTGACAGGGTGACACACAGTAGCTCAAACCCTGGGAATTTTCTCACAGTTACAGCCTCCGGAGAGGTGAAGCCTCACAGTGCCGCCTGCTTCACAAAGCACCTCCAACATCCAGCTGCACATGGCCAGTGTGTGCCCTGGAGCCGAGTACAGCAGCTGCACATGGCCAGCGTGTGCCCTGGAGCCGAGTACACCAGGGCTAGCCGCGTGCACAGAGGTTCACACACAGCCTTTGTCTTCAGATAAGCTCCTAAAAACCTCTAAGAATAAGCATGAAGAACCTTTCAAACACCAGTGCAGGTACAAAGTCTTCACTAACAACTAGTTTTTCTCTATTACCAAGTTTAAGAAGCAACATCCCCTGGCTGGGAGCCTCTACCTGTGAGACAGTCTCCTCAGATCTGACAAGGAGCAGGTGCAGCTAAGGCCCTGGAAGGCGCAGCCTAGCGTGGTGGCCAGGACCATGCCCACCCCTCACAGGGCTCTGCGCACCTCCTGAGTGGAGATGAAAATCAACAGCAGCCTCCTCGGCTCTAGGGCCCGGGAGGACTCTGACCTGGCTTAAGGGCCTACTCAGCTGAAGGCACAGTACCACAGGTCTTTCCAAACCCCTCTTCTGTAATGGCAAACAGAGGCATGGCTGGCCTTCAATCAGAGGAGGCAACGTCAAGGAGAAACATAGGCTGGACGGGCGCAGTGGCTCATGCCTGTAATCCCAGCACTTTGGGAGACCAGGGCAGGAGGATCCCTTAAGGTCAGGAGTTCGAGACCAGCCTGGGCAGCATAGTGAGACCCTAGTCTCTACAAAAAACAATGAACAAAATTAGCTGGGTTTGGTGGGGCAGGTCTGTAGTCCCAGCTCCTCGGTAGGCTGAAGTGGGAAGATTGCCGGGGCTCAGGAGGTCAAGGCTGCAGTGAGCCAAGACAGCACCCCTGCACTCCAGCTTGGACAACAGGGTGAGACCTGCCTCAAAAGACAAAAAAAAGAAGAGGAAACACAGGCTTTCAGGCCCTGCTTTCTGTAGCCAGCCGGACAGGTCTAAGAATTAAGTCACCCCTGTGGCCAGTCCTCCCAGACCTCTGCAGACCTGTGAAAAGCTGCCGTGTCTCTGGGGAGCCTGGACACCCCATTAGCAAATGGCCGGACCAACAGACGAGCCCCGGCCAGAGGGGCTCCAGGACAAGTCAGAGGTTGCTTCTTTGCAGCCCTGAGCAGGGTCTGGCCTGAGTAGAGGTGGGGCCAAACGCTAACTGACCAGCACAGCCAATGACCACCCGGGGCAGTGTTTAATTTAATTTAAAAACACATCCTACAACTTGTCCATACCGAGAAAATGTAAACATATGTTAGATAAGTTTGTATAATTCTTCAGAAATACAGAACTTTTCGAGCCACTGTTATCCCCATAGCAAGCAACACAGACATGGGTCTGCGAGTGACAGAGGGGCAGCCAGGGTGGGCGTGGCCGCACCTGGGAGGTGGCCGTTCCGAGGAGTGGCTGGCTCGGGAGCTGGGCCGCTCGGGCTCGGGGTAGCGGTAGTTCTCGGCGTACGCAGACGCAGCACTGTCATAGGGCCTGTATCGAGTCTCGTAGAGGCCGTAGACATCCTGTGGGAGGAAGTATTTGGGGAGGATTAGATACCAATCAAGAGCAAGCTCGTTCAACAGCCAGCCTGAGCTGGAAACATCGCAGACGGCTGCTCCCCAGCAGGACTGAGTGTGGCCCTTCCCTCATGCACAACCACACAGACCTCCAAAGTACAGCCACACCCACAGGCAGCGGGGCGTCCTAAGACCCACAGCGCTGGCCCTGTTCAGGAGACCCCTGGATGGACCCAGGGCACCAGCATGTCAGCAGACAGCCCTGCGGGGCTGTGGCGACTTCTGGAAGGGGTTGTTAGGTTTCTGCTTCCTGACGAGTCCAGTGTGGAGATGCCATGATTTGAACAACCCCTGTGTCCTGCTTCAGATGCCACCTCCGTGAAGTCAGAGAACCAGGGTCCCAGTGAACAGAGCCACAGCCAGGAGTAGCCTCTAAAAGTGGACCGTGCTTTATTCTCAGGTGGCTTCAGCCCCATCACCAATCAATTCGTGGCCACAGATCTGTCCCCAAGGGGGCCACGTGGACACATGAGGATCTGCAGACATGCAGTGCCCCAGGCACATGCCAGAATTCATGCTTAAGGGCCTCAAAGCGTCGAGGCTACCGCTGGCTGGCAGGCAATGTGAAATCACAGCAAAACGGACTCGCCCTTGGCCACCCACACACCACAGCAAGAGGCATGGCAGGAGGAGTGCACTCCGCAGAGGGACGTGGCTCGCAGCAGCAGGACCGTACAAAGGACCCCAAGTGAGGCCACAGCTTCCCCCTCGCTCTGCACCAGCCCCACCCCAGGGTTCCCAGCAGAGCTGAACGTCCTTGTATGGAAATAAAAAGTGCCTGGGCTCCTTCTGGAACCTACACAGGTCTGAGGGGTCAGGTGTGCACCTGGTCATATGCACACAAACCGTGATGCTCGAGGCCCAAGGGGAGGCCCAGCCCCATTCCCCGGGACAGTATCCAGCCAACCACGGCAGCTTGTTCCTCGGGGCGGGTGCCCTTCTGACTGCAAGGCCTTCCTGTGTGGTCCCAAGTCTGGTTCCAACTGGCCTTACATACTGCAAGACCACGGCTTTCCAACTCCCTATCACACAACCTTCTACCCGGAGTGACACTGAATCGGTGAACCCAATCAGTGTATGCTGAACTGGGTTAGAGGGTAGGAAAAGCAAATAATGATCAAATGTGTACAGACACTTTTCGAACGACTGCAGGATTACACGGAACCTAACTCAAACGTCACTCATGAGCTGGAGTCCCTGTGAAAGGAGGCACAAAAGAATCTTCTGCATGAGCACAGCCGGTCCCTGAGCCACTGCCCGAGCCACTGCCCGCACCACCACGTGCTGAGAGGAGCCTGCGGGACCCCGCCTCACTCAGCTGCTGCGTGCAGCTCATGCTCCAAAATGGACTATTTTCTCTCCGTGTGTTTAATCTCCAGGAGGCATTTAAAGAACTATGTGATGCCCAGTGCTTCTGATGTAAGCTTCCAGGGGCCATCCCAGCTTCCCAAGGCGTGCAACACACCTTGTCTGCAGACAGCCAGCAGGAGCAGGGGTGATAGGAAATGGAGGGCTCTTTTTGTCACATTAGCTGGGGAGGCTGGTTCAAATCCTAAGCAGGTATTATAAGCAATTCAAGATGCTAACGTGTGGTGTGAACTAAGGGTGGCCTGTGGTTGGGAGAGCAAGTTCTGGAGTCAGGAGCCCTGTCCACAGGAAGCGTTACTGGAATACTGTTCTCACACCTGTGGGACTGTGGGTGACCTCGGAACCAAGCGAACAAACACGACTAGGGAACACACCGTGAGTGAGTCAACTAAGAGTCAACTGGTCAAAGCAACGAGAGAAAAGTGAGTTACACACGCGACTCGACTCTACCTGGTAATAGAGGGAGGCCGCGCCAGGCTCCAGTGGGTACGGCGAGGGGTACTGAGGCTGGTAGGCATCGTACAGAGGCCGGTAGTAGTAGTAGGCGGCCAGGTCCTGAGGCGGTGGGCCGGGGGCAAGTGCAGGCATCGGCTGTGGCCATGGCTGCTCTGACGGCACTGCTGCCTGGCCGGAGCCGGTAGACACCAGCGACGCACTAGAGGACTGAGGAGGCCGAGGTGGCAGCTGCTGACCTGCGTCAGCCGGAGCCAGACTTGCTGGTGGCTGTGCTGAGTTCTGGGCCTGTCCCTGGGCTGGCAGACTCTCTGGATTTGACAGCTCTGACAACGTGGCTTTGGGTACTTGTGGGGAAGCCTGTTGCTGGGGTGGCACCAGCTCCTGCTGGGCTCTTTCGAGGCCAGACTGGCCCTGGGCATCTTTCGTGACCTGCTGATAAAAACGGTCAAGGTTAGGTGCCCCAGGCCCAGATTGTCTGGGATGACTGGCAACAGTTTGCTGAGAAGCGAGGCTGTCAGAATGGGATGGGCTGTACATGCTTACAGGATTTTCCAAAGTCCTGCTCAAGGAAAAGTCTAGGGCTCCGTAAGTGTCTTCCTGATGACTGGAATGGTTTGCCTTATTACCATCAGGCACCAGGGTGCCGTGTGCAGGTGGAACTAACACCACACTTGTGCTTCCAGCAGGGCTATTAGCAAATCCGGGAAGAGCATTTCCTGCCTTACGATCCTTTTGACTTTCCGGAACCAAATTCTCTGGAACTGGCTGGGATGGTGGTTGAACCAGCAAATTAGCAGGCTGATTAGAAACCATTTCGGAAGCACCAGAACCTTGTGGAAAATTACTCTGGGCAACACTGCTAGGCAGAGACAAGCTAAGGACAGAGCCGGTTGGAATCCCAGACAAAGAACTGTTCTCCCCAGAATCACCACCGAGAGCCCAGCTGCCGACTGCAGGTCTATCCCCCACCAAAGCCTCTCTCCAGGACTGATTCTTCTCATTAGAGTTCGATAAGGACATAGGAAAGTTAATGGGCTGAGCCAGATTATAGCTGTGATCAGGCTGGGCAATCAAGACTGGCGGATTCTGCAGAGACTCAGTGGGCGGTGAGGATAATAAACTTGCATAACCAGAACTCGCCTGGGACTGAAGGGCCTCCTCCTCTCCCATTTTGGGAGGATTCTCAAGGTTCTCTGAAGCACCAATGCCGTCTCGGCTCTGCACAGGGGCCGCCGAGCTTGGCTTCCGTGACTGCTGCCCGGACATCGCCTCTTCTGGAGGCTGAACAACTTCAGGTGGCTGAGGTTTCGCAGACACATAAAGCGCCGGGGCTGCAGGGGCCAGAAGGACGTTGCCTCCAAAATCTGGCAGCTCACTTTGCGCCCACAGAGTCGTTGCTGGGCTCTCACACTTCACGGGACCCTGGGCCCTGGCTGAAGGTCTCTTCTCCGGTGCCGGATACACAGTATCCAAGGGTGGCGCCCCTGCGTGTGGAAGCACGTGCCCAGCTTCTGTGGTGGAGTTAAGAGGCAGGGGACAGACCTGGGGTGCACAGAGGTTCTCCATGTTGTCTGGTGGCTGCTCCAGGTTGCCAGGAGAAGCATCGGGCAGGGCGGCAGCTGGTCTGCACTGCTTCTGGCGGGCACAGGTCTCCCTTACTTCACCAACCACGTTGGCGCGATCTGCCTCAAATGGTTTTACCCCAACTAAGTGGGATTTTACCGGTTCAAAAGAACTATTTGCACTTGTCTGAAATATTCCTGTAGGTTTCGGGGGGCTTGGGGTTGAGGGCTGGGACACGCTGCCCCGGTAATTCTGGCTCACAGTGGTCTCGTCTGTTTCGCCTCCTACAGGAGAAGAATCGATTTGCTTAAAAAAACTACCTGAAGCTTCATCCTCAGGTTTTCCAACTTCTTGCTGGATGAACGTGCCAACTAGCTCCTGGGGCCTGGCTGAGCCTGAGAGCCTTCCGTGGCTTCTGCTGTTGTAGCTGGATGACGCACTGTCAGGGTGTACTGTGTGCAGCGTGGTGTCAGGGGCTCCGGTGTGACACACAGCACCAAGCCTGGGCACAGCTGGCCCAGGAAGGGGCCCATATCTGAACTGGTCACTCAGGGAGGAAGGGTCCAAATTGAGGGGCTCACTTGGCAGAACTTCTTGATTCTGAACAAATTCTAAGTTCTCAACGTTCTCATACTGCGAGCCACTGGCATCCGGCAGCCCTGTGCCCGCTGCGTCACCCCATACATCACCAGTAGCCTCATTGCCGGGGACTGGGAGAAGGGCCTGGCAGAGGCTGCCTGCCCCCATGTGTGCAGGTGCAGGCGGATGGCCCAGTCCAGGGCTGGAGCAGAAATCGTCAAAGTCTGCTTGACCAGATGAGCCTGCTTTTTCAGATGAGAGATTCTCCTCATTTTCTGTCTCTCCCCCTTGGAAAAACATCGCCAGAGCTCCTGAGGCTCCCGAGTCCGCTTCCAGCGGAGCACAGCCAGGCCCGGCCCCCAGTGGATGGTGCGTGCGGTGTTCTGGGCTGTCTCCTTGGGCGAGGGAGTTTACAAGAGCAGAGGCGGGCTGGTGTTCCTTCTTCACTCCTGGATTCTGCCTGAGCTCTGGGCTTGCCCAGTGATTCACAATTCTGGGATTTTGCCTGAATGTATTTTCAGGATCAAAGTTATTGGCCAGGTGGCTTCCAGTTTGCAAGTGGCCCACCTCATCTCTTCCGTCACTGGGCAAGGCTGCTGGGGGAGCCACCAGAGGGCTGTGTTGCTCGTGACCAGGGCCCTGATGTAGGACGGACGGGATGGGGAAATGAGGAACGCTGGTGGCACAGGGCACTCCGCTGGGAACAGGTCCTTCAGGGCAGGGTGAACGATGTTGCCCCAAGGGCTGTGGGCTTCCCTGCACTGGCCCCCACTGTCCCGCCATCAGCAGACGAGGCTGGGGGAAGGAAGGGGATGCTGCTGGGGTGACCACACCATCATGTGGGTTTTGCCTGCTCAGGGGTCGGTCGAGCCCAGGCATGTTCCCATGAGAATGGCCCCCATGAGATGGTTCAGGATCCACTCCTGGAATGTAGTGAGGCAGATATGGCGGAGTCTGAACTTCAGGCTCTGAACTGGGACCGACCTCTGTGCTCCTGTTCATCTCAGGCCCAGGAGGTGCTGAAGGTGTCAACACACCAGAAAACGGACTGGCATCTGCTCTGGGCTGTGTCAGAGGTCCAGGCAGGGGTTCACAGGGTCCCTGAGAGCTATCTCTGGCATGTGTGTGAGGCACAAGCAAACCGGGGTGCTGAGAAAAGCCTGAGGGGGCTGGGACTTGCAAGACAGGCAGGCTGCTTTTGGACGAACTGCCCACCGGTGTACTTTGGAGCGCCTGTCTACTAAAAGCAAATGGATCCGTGACCGGTTGCAACGGGCAAGTGATCGGAGCCACTGCTGCATTACCATTGGCCCGTCTCCTATAAGGGCTGCTAGCCCAGAACACGCTCCGAGGATTCCCGGCTGGAGGCGGCCCAGCCACGCCAGACGGGACCGCCTGGGGTGGCGGCTGCATGACTGAACTCTTGCACAAGTCGATGCTGCTCACAGAAGGAAGCAGAATACAGCTTTTCCTTAATTGGGGCTGAAAAAGAAAAAGAGACAATCAGCATAAAATCCATATATTCAAAGTCCTAGCTGCAATCAGGAAAACTAAGGAAAAAGAGGAACACTGAACATGATTTCACGTCACTTAAATCCCGAGGACTCTCTCTCCCCTACACCCCACCCCAGCAGAGAACACCTGTCCCTGAGGAGCTGCTCTGGGGGGCAGTGGACAGAGTACGTGCCCTGGATGGCCTGGCCGCGAGCTGATGGAGTATGTCTAGATGGCCACTCCCTCCTCTGGGATCCTCTACTCACAAGGCCCATCACTGCCGTGGCCCTCCGCCACAACAGCAGGGATGGTGCAGAACCTGGACACCAGTGTGATACGCTACCAGACCCACAGATACTCAATGTTTTCCTGCAAACCATCCCGAGATCCAGGAAGAGCCAACTCTTCCATTAAGAAAGAAAAACTGGCCAGATGTGGTGGCTTATGCCTGTACTCCCAACACTTTAAAAGGCCAAGGCAGGAGGACCACTTGAGCTCAGGAATTCGAGACCAGCCTGAGCAACAGTGGGATCTTGTTTCTACAAAAAAACACAAAAATCAGCCAGGCGTGGTGGTGCACACCTGTAGTCCCAACTACTCAGGAGGCTGAGGCAGGAGGATCGCGTGAGCCTGGGAGGTCGAGGCTGTCGTGAGCTATGACAGCACCACTGCCCTTCAGCCTGGGTGACACAGTGAGTCCCTAGCTCAAAAAAAAAAAAAAAAAGAAAAACTTTATATCATACTTCGTATACATGTTAATTTTAAATTTCAAAAAGGGTACAAAAGTTTACAATTCATTCTTGTATTTTCTTTGATGAAAGAGCATTATGAAGTATAGTTATAAAAGCTGCAAAATAGCTGGGTGCAGTGGCTCATGCCTGTAATCCCAGCACTTTGGGAGGTCAAGGTGGAAGGACTGCTAGAGCCCAGGAGGTCGAGACCAGCCTGGGCAACATAGCAAGACCCCGTCTCTACAAAAGAAGAAAGTGAGCCAGACATGGTGGCACACACCTGCAGTCCCAGGGACTCAGGGAGTTAAGGAGGGAAGATCACTTGTGTCCGTGAGTTCAAGGCTGCAGTGAGCTATGATTATACTACCGCAGTCCAGCCTGGGCAACAGAGCAAGACGGTCTCTGTTTAAAATAAATAAATAAATAAAAAGTGACACAATCATTTTTTTAAAAAGCTGCAAAGTAAATACATTCATCTAAATGCCTTTTATCACACCTCTTCACAGGTCTCATTTTTTGTACTGTGACTGGCTTGAGGTCTGAAAGGACCACCAGCAAGACAACGTGACCTTTGAACTGGAGCTGTAACTATGCCTGGAATGGAAACTCCCAGGAAATTTAAAGCAGCTTTACAAGGGACAGACTAAATTCCAAAATTTTCAATACGAGGCAGAATTGCCAAAAAACCTCTTATAGAAAACAAAGGGGCAAAAACCTCCATCAGTTTTTAAATAAAATATACTAGATACAAACTTGAACAGTTAACCTGGCCTCTTAAGGCAAAAATTCAAGTGCTATATCTTTAGGAAAGTTCTTTTCTTTCTATCAATCTTTCGTCTTCTCAGCACCACCCTCATGAACAAACAGATAAGTTTAGCCAATCAAAGGAAAAACTAAACCAAAGGGGAGGACCCTGGAGTTTAATCCACACTTTTTAAATTTTTTTTTTGAGAGGGAGTCTCGCTCTGTCGCCCAGGCTGGAGTGCAGTGGCGCGACCTCGGCTCACTGCAAGCTCCACCTCCCAGGTTCACGCCATTGTCCTGCCTCAGCCTCCTGAGCAGCTGGGACTACAGGCACCTGCCACCACGCCTGGCTAATTTTTTGTATTTTCAGTAGAGACGGGGTTTCACCGTGTTAGCCAGGATGGTCTCGATCTCCTGACCTTGTGATCTGCCTGCCTTGGCCTCCCAAAGTGCTGGGACTACAGGCATGAGCCACCGTGCCCGGCCAATCCACCCATTTCTGCAGATGCATATTGTTTTCATCGTTGGAAATCTTTCTGATATTCAGATAAAAGAAGAAAACATTGGCCAGGTGCAGTGGCTCACACCTGTAAGCCCAGCACTTTGGGAGGCAGGAGGATCACTTGAGTCCAGCAGTTTGAGACCAGCCTGGGCAACACACCAATACCCCATCTTCATTTAAAAAAAAAAAAAAAAAAGCCGGTCGTGGTGGGGAGTGCCTGTAGTCCCAACTACTCGGGAGGCTGAGGTGGGAGGATCATTTGAGCCAGGGAGGTTGAGGCTGCAGTGAGCCTTGTTCAAGTCACAACACTCCAGCATGGGCAACAGAGTGCGACTGTCTCCGAAAAAAAAAAAAAAAAAACAGAGAAGAAAACACCGATCAATGTATTTTAAGTGAAGTTATTTACAAATTAAAGTTCCTATGCTGACCTAAAAACTAGTCCTGTCAACCTACTGCGTCAACACTGTCACTGCCCACACACGCTCTTTGCTCTGCCAACGGGGGACGCTTTCCAACTGACAGGCACCTTGAAATCCACTTGACTCTAACGGAACTCTACTATTAGGAACAGTAGCAAAAGCTTCATTGAGGTTGTAGGCTCTCATCTGAAAACAAAGAATGTTCACAGCTCTATTTTACATGGACTGAAAGGAGAACGGGCAGAGCATCTCCCTCCGATCTGTGCACTGGCATTATCTTCCATTTGGTCCTACCAGCTGCCACAGCAGACACAGTGACACCTGCAACCATGGCCAGAACACGCAAACTTCCAAGCCCCTCGTGAAACTCCGCTGCCAGGAGAACAGAAGTCCTACCTCATCTCTCAAGACACGGCCTTCCCCTGGGAAGATCCTTACCGTCCTCAACAGCTTTTGTTTGCTTTAAACACAGAACATAGGCCTAGAGGTTTATTCCTCGGCTGCTGCTGTAAGAGCAAAACTGAGCGTCCAGGTGAGTGGCTCGGGGCAGCCACTTCTCTTTCTGCAATGTATTTTTGTCTATAAAATGAGAGAATCGATGTGATTATTTTTTCCTGAAAACCCTGGGTTTAATCTTATGAGATTCTACTCACAGTGGATTCTGGGATGTCCTAATCCCAACTGCTGTTTAACAGGTGTGGTCGGGCGCGGTGGCTCACGCCTTAATCCCAGCACTTTGGGAGGCAGAGGCAGGCAGATCACGAGGTCAGGAGATCAAGACCATCCTGGCTAACACGGTGAAACCCCGTTTCTACTAAAATACAAAAAATTAGCCAGGCATGGTGGTGGGTGCCTGTAGTCCCAGCTACTCGGGAGGCTGAGGCAGGAGAATGGCATGAACCCGGGAGGCGGAGCTTGCAGTGAGCTGAGATCGCGCCACTGCACCCCAGCCTGGGCGACAGAGCGAGACTCCTTGTCAAAAAAAAATTCTGTAGCTCTCCCAGACTAAGAACTTTTTTTATAGCAAACACTATCACTTACAAGGAGCATTCCAACCCTCATGCTCCCTAATTGAGAGCTTTTCAGCAACATGCTAGCTTCATTTGGAACAATCTTGTGACTTGAACTGATTTTTTTTATCTTTTTCTCTACTCAACGGGAGAAAAACAATGCAACTGCCTATCACCTATGTCACCACTATAGGGAATTTTATTCTGTAACCTCAAGTCATCTAACTCTTCTCCTGTTTCAAAGAGACCAGCTGATCTTGAAGATATAGTATTCATAAACCTAGCTAGTCAGTTAAACTACCTTGTAACCATGTGGACATGCGGATACCTAAGCAAAACTCTTTTTAGTATAGTTCTGGCTACAGAACTGAGGTATTTAAAACGCATGCACACCCCTCTCCTCTTGTTGCCACTGGTTTCACTTTTTTTTTTTTTTTTTTTGAGACGGAGTCTTGCTCTGTCGCCCAGGCTGGGGTGCAGTGGCCGGATCTCAGCTCACTGCAAGCTCCGCCTCCCGGGTTCACGCCATTCTCCTGCCTCAGCCTCCCGAGTAGCTGGAACTACAGGCGCCCGCCACCTCGCCCGGCTAGTTTTTTGTATTTTTTAGTAGAGACGGGGTTTCACCGTGTTAGCCAGGATGGTCTCGATCTCCTGACCTCGTTGATCCACCCGTCTCCGCCTCCCAAAGTGCTGGGATTACAGGCTTGAGCCACCGCGCCCGGCCTGGCTTCACATTTTAAGTGAGGAAAACAATAGTGTGCCAGGAAGCCCCTCAGCTTACCTGCTGCCTACAGTCTCCCTCACGGTGGCTGCTAGTGACGCCCTGTCAGACTATGGAACGCTTGACACAAAGACATGATTCAACTCCAACTCTTCTAAGTTAGAATCGCAACCACATACAGTTAGATGTTGAAAAGGAAGCCAGCGATAGAGGAGGTCAGCAGCCTAACACTGCTGAAAATGATGAAGACCCAAAAGGACAGCCTGGTATTCATGAAAGATGCTTACAGAAGAAGAAATCACATTAACATTTACCCACTACCATGGCCTCTTGCTGGGTTTGGCAGAAAATGAAAAATAAAATAAAAAGAAGAAAAAAGAAAAAAAAATGTGCCCACTGCCTCAAAGAAAACTTTCAGTACAATTTTGAGACTCACTGTAGTAACCACTGTTAAGAGTAAACGAGGAACAAGGAACAAGAAAGAAACGCTGTTTTGCCTCTTGTCTACAAGATACCAGCACCGGAACCCTAAGAAAGGGCATGGCGAAAAAACGCACGGAGGCTGCATCGTGCTGAAACTTGCAAAAGTATCACTCTAGGAAGAACTGTCTACGGTTCCGTTTGCTTCGTATTGTCACACGGGGGATGGGAAATACCTCTTTGGTTAACATCGGCATCATACATGTAAAACAAAATCTTAATATACAATCCACACCCAACTTACAAGTCATTTAAAAGTGTTCTTAAGCGGCGAAAACTGACTTTAAATGGCTCTGATGTTTCTTAAGACTCTACCGTAACACTTCATCACAAAGGGGCGAGCCAGATCACTCCCACTCTTCTAACCCTCGGCCTCTGTTGCGACACCCTGATCGCCCTATCAAGAAATTACAAACAAACAACTCTACTCTTTGGTTCAAATGTAAATGTCTCTCTTCACCAGCATCGCTAAGGAAGCCTTCCAGCCAGTGAGGACAAGACACGCTCATCTGAAAAGTTAGAGTCTTACGAGGGGTGCCCTGGGGGTCCAGCCTCCCGCCCCGGGAACCGGCGTCACCGCAGCCCAGCCGGGTTCACGTCAGTCCCTCGAATCCCACCGCGGCCCGCGCCGCGCCCGGCCTCCCGCTCTGGCCTGGACGTCTGTCCCCTCGCCCGGCCCCGGCGGGACCAGAGCTGCGCCGCCCGCTCGGGGCTGGGCCCCGCCGCCTCCTTTCCTCCGCGCCCCGGCCTCCACGGCCTGGCTCTGCCGGCCGGCCACCGCCTTCCTCCTCCCGCGCTCGCCCCCCTACCCGCGTGGCTGAGACCGATCCCTCAGGAGCCGGGGGCGAAATCCCACCCGGCGCTGGCGACGAGCGCAGACACAGCAGCCACCGCAGCCATCTTGGCACATCCGGCTCCGGTCTCCGCGGCCGCCGCGCCGCCGACGTGTCCGGCTTGCGACATCAGCGCGCGCCCCGCCCCTCGCCCCGCCCCTCGTCTCGTCGGCCCAGACGCGTTCTTATTGAACCCCTCACGGCCCATCCCTCGGCCCCGCCCCTCGCCGGCGTCCGTCCTCCCCGCCTCATCCCTCTGTCCCGCCCCTCTTGCCCCCGCCCCTCGCCGGTGTACGTTCTGCCCCGCCTCATTCTTTCGTCCCGCCCCCCGCCCATCTTTCCCACGCCTGATCCTGTCGTTCCCGTCCCCCTTGGCCCCGCCCCTCTTCCGTCTTTCCTCGCTTCATCCTTTCGTCCCGTCCCCTTGGCCCCGCCCGTCGTCCACCTTTCTCCGCCTCATCCTGTCGTTCCCGCCCCTTTGGCCCCGCCCCTCGGCCGTCCTTCCCCGCCCGTGGCCCCGCCCCCCGCCGGCGTCCTTCCGCCGCCTCACCGCTTGGCCCCGCCCCTTGCCACCTGCCCGGCCGGGCGCGCCGGGGCCGCCCCTGGACGTCGCCCTGGTTACGCTGGCTCTCTCCCAGTCTTTTTTCGTTTTAAGATGTGAGAAGAGATGGGATTCTTCAAGCAAGGCCACAAGGGGGAAATCAGTGTGCAGGACCGATGCCAGCAGGCTCACGCACCGAGAACGGCTACTCCGCCGAGCTGAGAAGCGCGGGGCCCTGACGCCGGCACGCTGCTCGCATTCTTCCGTTGGGCTGGGAGGCTGGAGGGCAGGCGGCGGCGGTCGCGCATGCGCCCGGGTCGGCCGGAGCTGCGGGCCGCGGAGGGCCGACTGCGCCTGCGCGTTGGTTGCCTGGCTACGGCGCGGCCGCGGGCCCGGAGCGGCGCCGGAAGTAGGTAGTTGGCTACCGCCAGTCTCTGTCCAGCGCCCTGGGGTTTCCCCGACGCATCTTCTCCTGGCCTTTCGCTCTGCACAGAGGCCCGGGCAGGGAGGGACGGCCCGGCCACTGCGCGGAGCCGGGTCTCCGCCGACTCGCAAGGGGGACGCGCCGGTTTCTCGTCCCCGAGCTTCGCCCTGCGCCTTTGCTGCGCTGGGCCCTCCCAGACCCACCCTGGCCCCGGCCCCGGCCCCGGCCCCGGCCCCGGCCCCGGCCCCGCTGTTCTCCCGGGGAGAAACGGCCTTTTTCGTTCGTCCCCTCGGCCGCCAGCCCCACAGGGGCGTGGGGGTCCCAGCCCTGGCTGAGTGCACGTCGGTGGCGAGTGGGCCCGGGCGCTTGGGCGGCCAGAGGGACCCAGCGGCGGGGTGAGGCGGGTAGGCGCTCCTGCCCCTGCCAAGACCAGGCCAGGCAGCATCCACGCCCTCCTGCGGAAGATCGCAGGGAACAGGTGGGCGCTATCATCTGTGCCCTGGTTTTCCGGAGGAGCCGAGGGAGGCTGAGCGGGTGAGGAAGCGGCCAGCCATGCCGGACCCACTCACCTGCACGTCTGCCTGGCGAGGGCAGGGAAGAGCCGCGGCCTTCCTCTGCTGATCCTTCCAGAGGGCAGGAGCCGTGGTGGAGGTGCCCGCCCGATGGCATCGCCGGAGGCTGAGCTCCCAGCAGCGGCTGAGGTCCTCCCTGGGTGGGAGCCACCCTTGTCCCCAGCTGGGCCAGAGGCTGGTGAAGGAGGGGGTGGTACCCGTGCCACGCCAGCAGAGCCCCAGGCGGTGCAGGGAGAGCTTCAGTCCGGCTGACGTGGCACTAGGGCCAGTCTGCTCAGCTAACATTTGCCTTTCGGGAGTCAGATTCCTGACCTGTTTGAACAGAGTTAGGGAGCACGTGGTAAGGCCCAGCCCCAGAGGTGCTGCCCCCATCTGCTTCTTCCCCGTGGTCGAGGCGCTCTGCACCCTCCGCGGAGGGAGGTATCATTGTTTGCCCTTCACAAAGAGGGGGATGCAGAAGTGGGTGCCGCCTCTCAGGTGTCGGGCTCACCCCTTGCCGCTCTCGAGTTCAAAGAACCCAAGAACCAGGAGCCCAGGGCTCGACCTTCTAGGGTCCTCCAAAACCCTGTGGTCCCACCCAGGTGGGCACTAAGCTATGGGAGAGACCATAGTTGCAGAAGCCAATTCTGCCATAGGCGTAAAATCCAAGGTCTCTCTGGACCCCAGGGCAGGGATGGTAGAAAGCAGCTTCTGTTGGCTCCTAGGGGTGTGAATCACTACATCACCTGCAGGGGGCCGCTGCCTTTCTTCCCCTGGCCTCCCTAATCCTGAGTGATGGAGACAGCTAGCAGCAGTTGGTAGCCTGGTGTGGAGTGGAGGGTTCCTGCACCCTGCGCCTGAGCCCATCCAGCCTCTGGGCCATAGACTCTTCTGTTGAAGGTCCAGCCTGCTCCTGAGATGCTGTGTGCCCTTTTTCAACTTCCTTAGTCTCTGAGCATCAGGTCTTCATCTCTAAGATAGAGCAAGATGAGCACCTAAACGTTTCAGGGCTGAAATGGGGTTGCCAGGACGACAAGCATGGCAGGGGCGAATGGGGACATCAGGTGACTGGCTGCGAGCCAGCAGAGGCCTCCACCCAGTGCTGGGAGGTGTCCCGCCCGTGGTGGCCATCACTGTTCCTGGTGGGGCTTTGTTGCCTTTGCCTGCAGCATCCGCTGGTTTCTCCATTCTCCCAGTCTCTACCCCTGCTCACACTTGGAGGCTGGACACAAACGTCACCACCTCCCTGAACCCCCTAGGTGGGCTGGGATCAGCACCTGGTGCAAAGCTGTGTGGCCACTGCTGTACCACGTGATGCAGAGCACACAGGACAGGCTCGTGTATGTCCAGGCTGTGCCAGGAAACCCGCTGCCTTTGTGTCATCACAGCCTTGGGCACGGTGTGTCCTTGGTGCCTCCACCAGGTCAGCTCCTCCCATTAGCTGTGCTGTCCGGCATGGGGGCCGCTGGTGCTTGCTGTGAGACTGAGCTAGGCTCTAAGTATAAACTACATGGTGGGTTGTGAAGGATGCAGATGTCGAATCGATCATTTTTTTATTGCACATTAAAATGAGAATATCTTGGACGTATCAGATTAAATAAAATACTATTAAATTTTATTTCACCTTTTTTTTTTTTTTTTGACATAGCTGCTAGGAAATATAAAACTCCATATGGGGCTGGTGTCATATTTCCACTGGACAGTGCTGGTCTAGGAGGCAGGCACTCAGCGCCCCTAGCCTGTGCTTATAGCCTCCTATGATAGGGGGCCTGAAATGCCGGAGGCTGCCGAGTGGACCTGGCTGTTTGCTCACCACTGGCGGGCCTGTGGCGGTCCTCCAGGGAGCCCCCGGCAGAGCAGCGGTCTCAGTGAACGCAGGACGGACCCTCGCCATGAGCCTCTGCCCCTCTTTCCTACCTGGTGTAAAATAGCAGCGGCAAGTATGTCTGGGTGCTTGTGGAGGTTTACTGGGCAGGCCTGCTCCCCGCTGGATGCTGTCCTCCGCCCCTGACACGGACCCGTAGTCCTGGACACTGAAGCTGGAGGCTTGGCCTGGAGAGAGGAAGAGGAAGTCTCTGTGAGACAGGTTGGCTGGGTGGTCCAGGCAAGAAAACATATGAAGGCCTCCAAGATGGAAAGAACTGACACGGAACGCTTCCTGGAGGAGGAGGGAATAGGGCTGGGAAGCCGGAATCGGGAGAGGAAGTAGATCTGGAGGCGGGGTCCTTGGAGTCTATTCTGTAGCCTTTGTTCGTCAGACCCCTGCAGTAAAGGGGTCCCTGTCTGCATGCCACCAGGCTGGCCAGAGGGTGGGCCAGGCCTCCTCTTCTTACCCTCATGGAGGAGAGGAAGTCACCTCTGGGGGGGAAGGCCAGACCCCCAGGGCCACGGTGGGTAGCGTGGAGGGAGCCTCAGGCCCACTCGCTTCCATGTACAAGGCCTGCCGAGCACACAACACAGGGTCCGCAAACAGATGCCCACCACGCTGCCACCGCCTTCCCGTGTTCTACTCACCTCTGAGCCCCACCCTAACCTGGAGTGCTCGCCTGGCGTGCTCATCCGGGGTGTGCAGCAAGACAGCACTGTCCACTGTCTAGGCCTTCCCAGGGCTGACGTGAGGCCGAAGGTGCAACCTCGCCCTGGCAGATGTGCCCTTGCTCTGGGCTGCTGGTGACTGGGCCCCACAGAGCCTCCTCCAAGCACAGACAAAGGCATCGCCTTTTGGGGGCCCACCTGGTTAGCAGAGCACAGGGAAGATGGCTCCAGTGATGGTGGGCTAATTACCGTGTGTCCAGCTGTACTGCAAGCTTCCAGAAGCCGGAAACCCTCGGCCACCACCCAGGTGTTCAGCCTTGGACAAGCTACCTGGCCTCTCCGAGCCTCTGCCTCCTCCCCTGTAAAAGGAGGTGACAGCCTTGCCCTTTCCTGGCCTCTGCAAGGACTCCCTGGACCTGACCTCACAGGGTGGCAAGCGTGTCCTCCACACAAGACCTCCCCCGAGGCACGGGGCACGTTGACGGCATTGCCAGCAGCCTCGCTACTGCAGGAACGTCATGCTCCTCATCTCCAGCATCTTCAAGCATGTTGGGCACATAGCAGGAATCAGAGAACATTTTTCTGGAATCATTGAGCCAAGTACTTACCATGTAAAGTGCTAAAAAGCACTAGGGATGAAGCAGAAAGCTCAAGGCTGATGTCGATGTCACAGTAACCTGGGACTGCAGGCCACCAGGGCCACAGGAGGAACTGCTGGGTGTCCTTGAGCTGCAGCGGGGCCCTGGTAAGCCCACGAGTCCTCCATCCCCAAACCATGCACAGATGTCTGCTGAGCCCCTGCTGTACCCCAGGCACTGCTAGGAGCTGGGCCGTGGCCGTGAGACAGGCCCAGCCTCTGCCCTGGGGGAACATGGATGCTGGCCGGTCACAGATGTGCCCGTGAAGAGGGCACCGTGTGGCGCCTGCTGGGGACAGGCAGGAGGAGAAGGAGCATTTCTGGCTGCAGTGAACAGTCCACATGAGGCTTCCGTGGGGCGAGGGGCCGGTGGGTGTGGGCTGGTGTGGACTCTGTAGGCCCTGCTAAGAGACTTTCGGTGATGTCTGTAAGTAATGGGAAGC